TTTCCCTAGATATGGACTTATTTTGCCCAAGAAAACACCACAGAAAACTCTTGTTACAAAGAAACCTTCAGTATTTGCAGACGACTCGGAGGAGGAGGTCAGTTATCGATAATTTTCTCCTGAGTTTCTCTGAAGCATAGATGAATTCTGGGGGGGGTTTAGTACGATAAACAGAGGCATATTCTGAGCGTCAATTGGGAAGAGTTTATGGGCTGCTAGTAAAATGAGCGCAAGTTCGGCCTACCTTTTAATTTCAGATAGTCATTTTGAGTGGCATGAACTAGCTGGTAAAGCAGAGCCGTGGCTCTGAAAGCTCTGGGTTCTGTCCTCCTCTGCCGTTGACTTGTGTCATCTTAAGCAACTTAATTTCTCTGTCGGCAAACAGCTCTTTCAAATATATATTTTTCTGCTGCGCAAACATTACTTCCAGGGCCTCTCAGAACATTTTAACAGCCTGTTTTGCTGCTGCAGCTTGTGTGTATAACGTAAATCTTCAACAGGGCTTTCAAAAGTGTGTTCCTGGCGATGTTTCTGAAGGGGTTCGCACTTAACAGGATGTTGCTTTTTAAGGGGAGAAGTGTTGATTCAGCTATTGAATTTGAAATGCGTATCAGCTTTTAATGGTCTGCTCCCAACTCCAGTTGAAGTTGGTAGGAGTCAAGTCTACTCTAGTGTAGCAGGGGCCAACCTTTTTGGAAGCTGTGCCACCAGTTAGCCCCATGCCCTTGTCGAGTAGCACTCCAGTCCTCTTCTCCTGTTCAGTCGGCTGTTCTGCTTTCTGATCCTAGCCCTGTTCTTCTTGTCTGACCTTCTGCTCTGTTTTCTGCTCCCTGCCCTATCTGCCACTGTGTTGCCTGTCCACTTCTGGTCCGCTGCGTGCCATGCACAGAGGCTGCCCATACCACTTGTGAGACATACTGCAGGTAGACCACCATGCTCTAGGGAGAGCAGTGCCAACTTAGCACAGGTTCTCATAGAGTCTAACACAACAGGGGAAAAACCACTGCGATCACGCACTTCACACTTGTCCTGCTTTTCAGTGAACCTCAGAAGTTCCTTTTTTATGCAAGTGATGAACACGTACTGTGTAAAATTACTCCATATTAGTAGCTCTGTCTAACATTTGCTCCTGTATATAAAATATTTGCTCCATGACCAGGTAAAACACCTGGTTTGAGTCAAGTATATGCAGCAAAATAAATGGATGAAGGAAAGGCCCCAACTGCCAGGGCCAGAATGACATAACTGAACTGAAAATGAGGATTTAATAAACAGATTGAATTGAGCACCAGGGTTAATTATATTGCTTATCTTTAAAATGTTACAAAGGCCCCCCATGTAACATGTAACTCTGCATGTAATCATTTGCCCATGTGCTTAATTTTACTTGCAAGTTACTTGATACGCCTTGACTGATACTTACGACAGCTCTTCTACAGCCTTTTTTTTCCAGGCGAAGTACAGACAGTCAAAAAGCCCGAGGCTGAATCGATTCAGTCTTTGCAGTGTAGTCTAAGCTGCGTAGTTGAACCGATAAGCAAGCAAACAGACGTTCGCATGCCTGTAGTTGCCCAGGCCAGAAGGGGAGATGCTAGAGCATGCCTCCCTGCTTGGCTGGAGCAGACAGCTTGGGCCAAGGTGCGAAGCATCCTGGGATGCGCGGGGACTGAGTTAACTTGAATCTGGAGGGGTTCTGGACAGAAGCTCAATAAACTGATTTAACCTAAATCAGTTAGCTCTGCTACTACGTCCCTCCAGGTTTATCTTAAACCGGTTTGGGCCATTTTGAAAGCGGTTTATGTGCACTGAAGTTCTGTTGTGTTATAGATTTGAACGGGTTCAAATCACTCATGCCAGTTGGTGTGTAATTTCTGCCCCTAGTCCCAGACACAGAGTTTGTAATTGGCATTCAGTGCAATTAGGAAGTGAAATGTCCTCGCTTCTTGCTAAGCTTGTGCAAGAATCATAACATTTTCCCCAGGGGATTTGCTTTCTCCACAAGTATAGCTTTTTAGTAACCAAGACATTGATGAACAACTTGTGATATTTAAGTTGCAAGTATCCCTTTATCTAATTCGCATGTTTTAAAAATATAGCCATAGTTTCAGAATTTTACCTGCTCCAGCAGAGGGGGCTGAAACCCTTCTAAATTAAGCTGTACTTTGCATTTCTATCGGACCAGAAAAAGCTGCTTAGTGGATACCCAGATACAGCTGGATATTTTACAAATTATTTTTCTAAGACACCTTCACCATAGTGTTCTGAAAGAAAATAGCAGCTGCCACTGCATTTTATATAGAGACCAATGTGTTCAGTGTACTTTGAGAAGGGCTACTGGACTGAGTTCTTTGGGGGAGTTCAGTAAAGAAATCTGCCTGGTTTGCGGATCCTGAGAGGGCAGGGGAATGGATCAAATGCTGAGTTGCTCGGTGCGGTTGAGTTCCCTGGAGGGCTTAAGGTGTTTAGGGAACTTGAATGTCAAAAATATAGACACCTACAGAGTATAGGTACCCCCAGGGATAGGTGTCAGCTGAGCAGGGGTTTCATGCTCACAGTTTTGGACCTATGTGGCTCTCAAATCCCTCGTTTGGACTTGCCTGAGATCACGTGGGGAGTTTGTGACTGAGCCCTGGTCTCCCAAGCCCCAGAGTGGCCCTTGGTTCCTGAGTGCTTATCCTTCCGAGTGAAGTGAGAAGGGGGAAGATTCAATCCAATGAGATAATGTTTTTATCATCATTGTCATCTCTGCAAACTTCTAGAATTACACAAGCCTCAGAGCTTGAAGCTGATGAGTGAGAAAACGGGCGGTTGCCCCTTAGACATAGTAGCCTGGCAGTACTTCCCTCAGCCCCAAAATGCTGTTATCCCAAAGGATGTCTGTGCTCAAAGAGTGTCAGCAATACTAATGGATGCTGCCATTGCTCTGTAAAGCCTCCGTGCAATTCATGCTTTAAGCAGCTCGGTGCTTTTTTAGTGAGGTAGACATAAAGCAATATGGGGAAAGCAGGCAAAGAGCACATTTGAATGCGATGCTGGTGGCTAACCAATAGCTTAACAGGTTAAATTCCCTTTCCTGCAAGGGATTTGTAATGGGTGCTGACATACTCCCTTCCAGAGTCCACTATAATAAGTTACAGCGCACAGCCTGGTATGGTACATAGCCCCCAGAAAGTAATCATCTCACAACGGCCTTTATCAAAAAAAAGTAAAATCATTTTTTTTAAAACAAAATTACTTTATTAGTTCAGTAATAATTTCAGGGCTTTTCAAGATAAGGAGCAGCATTTGGGAGGGGTTTCATTTCCTGTCTGCTACCTTATCAGTGAGAACTACATCTCGAATGTCTGAAGATTGTGTATTTTTAACTGAACTCTAATAAAGTCCATGCCAGGGAGTCTGCACACCTGACTTGGTCATTGTGATCACATATCAGATACCAAACTTTTTGTTCCCTTTTTAATGCTACTATGCATATTTCATTACGATTTTGCCTGTACCCTTGCTGCATCGGTGAGAATAGATTTGAAAGATGATCATTTTTATAGTCTGCTTGATGTGGCTGAGCTGGTTAGTGGCTGCAAGTTTTTGTGGAAGGTGATCCTTCTGGTTTATTAAGCAAAGCATTTGTGTTTCTCAGAGAGCAAAAATTCTCTTTAATTGCAATATTTAACACAGCTAATTAGAGCAGGAAAGCAAGCTTGTTCATTCCGTCATGTTAAGTACACTGTAGGAAAAGAATGACAAGGATTTTTGTGGATGGTATCTTTTTTTATAGGGCCAACTGCATGGCTGGGGTAGGCTTAGATAAGGATGAGTATGGACCCTCACCAACTCCAAATGGCAGTATGGACTTCACAGTTTTAGCCTATTTTTTTCTATAACAGCAACTGAAAAGAAAAAGAACTGAAAGGAAGAGGGGAAGCTCTCCTCCTCATTCCTGAGTGCACACACATTCCAGCATCAACTCATTGAACTCTTTTTGGCTTTAATTCAGTTCTGCAATTTCCAGATAAAAATCTATACCATGACTGTTTCCTGCTGCTTAGTATATTAATTATTTATTATGTTCCTCACTTTGAATCTTTATTCATGTTTTCTTCCTTGTCAAGTTGAGAGCCGTCTCTCCCTAGGTAGGCACTGGTCTGAATACTGTATTAGGTCAGCATGATATAATTAAGCATAGAGACCAGAGCAGTAGTTGCAAACCTGACATGGGAAGTTTTGCTCTGATGACCAGATTATTTAACTCATCTTCCCTCATTCACTGGCTAAATAATAGCCCTAATTTTTCCATTCTTGGCAGTTGGCCAAGGAGTTTCTGCACACTGAGTTAAGACCAGTTTGGTTGTAGTGGGAGATTAAAATCAGTCCTGGTCTAATTTCTCTGCCGTTGAAATAAAGCTAATATCACATCCCTTTGGAAATGAACTACAAATTTGAAGAAAGATACATTAATCTGTGTGCATAAGGTTGCATGTGCTGTAGGAGAAACCTCTAGAGGGGATGGTGTACCACTGTCAGAGAGAGAGGGAGTAGGCATTTACTTATTGAGAGACCTCTTAAAAGAAAAGGATAAAGCAATATATATTGCCATGTATACAGATTACTACAGTACTTGGCATTTGGGCAAAAATCTCAAATCATTCTTCCCTCGCTCGTGAATCCCTGAAAAACAGAGGCTCTGCCAGCGATAGAAATTATTCCATCGGCATTGGCCATTAAAATACACCCTGTTACAGATCGTCTAAGTTTCTACTGAGATCATCTGTACTTCTTGAGAAGCCAGTGAGAGACCTACAATGCAGCGGCATTTCTTATGCACATTGAGACGCTAGCTTAAAGTCGCTGATTCATAGATTCATTGGTTGTGAGGCTGGAAGGGACCTTGTAGATCATCAGGTCCAGCCCCCTGCACCAGGCAGGAAAGATAACCGGGGTCAAGTGACCCCAGCAAGGTGACTGTCCAGTCTTCTGATTATTTTAGCATTCTCTCTGAGGTAGTCTTAAATTCTAGCACTGCTGCAAGAATGTTGAGTTAGTCATCAGCCACAGGCTTCAGTCAGCGGTGCTGGACCATCCACGTCATGAACCACTCCCTTCCCGACAGCAGGTAGGACCAGCGGGTCTGGAATGTAGAAATGCAAGGAAACTTAAAGTTTCTACAAAACGTAGACACAAATGCATGCATGCTTTACTCTGTGTCTTTTTTTCTTAGGTGTTCAACTTGGGAATTTTGAATTGCTTTGTGAGCTTTGTGTACTGTGTTTGTAGTGCTTTAAAAATGCATGGTTCACGTGTTTATTTGCAGTGAGGCATAACCGAGGCAATGTGAACCACTCGTCAGTAGATTGAGTCTCACGTTTTTCTCTACCCTCGTAGGGATATTTTAAATAAGAAATGCATTTTGAAAGGAGATTGAGAGAGAGACAAGAACTAAGTGGCAGCACAAGGTATAAGAGAATCAAGAAAGAGAGGTGAAATGGAAGTGGAACGGGAAGAAAACGGAAAAACTTTGGGTAGATTTTGCAGGGGTAGCGCACTGTAGTGTCTGTTTTAAGAATTTTCCTTGGTTTGCACGATAGAACGGCATGCTGTTTCACTGCAGGGTTAAACTACTTTTTCTCTCTTCAGAAAATATTAAACTGTAAGCGTTGTGCCTCCAAAGAATAGTTTGATTGTGGGCAAACAGAAAGCACAAAACAGATTGGTGAGTTTGTCGGGTCTTTAATAAACAGGCAGTTGATAAGTAAAAACAATACAAAAGAACAGGAAGTTCCCATCTATCAGTGCTCGGAGCACAACAGGAAATTGTCCCCCATAAACCAGGAGAGGAGGTGTTTGTCCTGAACTTGTTTTACTTAAACGGACTGGCACGCTGTACAAACAAGCGGCAGGTGGACCTCTCCAGAGGCTGGTGTGCAGTCATAAGGCCTGCATATTACTTTTGTGTTTGCCTGGTCTGTTGACCAATATGTCCTGCTTGTCAAAGAAGAAGAAAAACATTCTAAGCAGTTTCATATATTTTGATGAAAGACGGTTAACTCCATAAATACATGGCACCTTGCAGACTTGTATGCCTCTTTGAATGAGTTAGTCTCTAAGGGGCCACCCTGCTCTGCCCTGGGCCCCATTTCAGACTAACTGCCTCTCTGCCTACATGCAGCTACTGATTTTTTTCCCTTGCTTCTTACCACCTCTCTCTGTCCTTTCTTCCCAAGGAGGTGCCTCCCTGTCAAATCCTTCTCCCTACAACTTCTGTCTAGTGACAGCTGTCATCCTTCAGCTAGGGGCTGTGTTGGACAGGGCTCCGTTCGGACTCCATCAGTGATGTTCCTTACCATGCCAAGCAACGGACAACCTTCTCCCAGAACGGGGGTGGCATCTGGGTCTTTTGTGAAATGCTGGGAAATAACTCACCCGCAGAGTTAGCCTGGCATAGTCTTTTAAGCTGGGGCAGCCCCACTGCTTGTCATGTACCCTTTGGGAAAAAACTGTATGAAATTAGGATGCATGTTTAATTGAAAAATATTTTAAAATAATCTGAAGTGCTCACGCAGCAGTTGAGTATCTGATGTCAGAATCAAACAGAACTGGATTTGTGAAGCCAGGATTATCCTAATACAGGAGCATGGGACTAGAAAGGACGAGGGGAACTGAGCCATTGAATCCATCCCTCCACGTTTGCCAGCACCAAAAACATCCATTGTAGAAAATGTGCGTGCATATTATGTTATACATCCACATATAATGAATCTGGATTCCTACCTAAATAACGCAGCAACTTGTAGCGTAAGGATGCAGTGTCTGTCTGGCATTACGGTAGACTTGGTATATGCTTTCAGCAGTTTACACCGTCAGGAGGAAAGTGCAGCTCTCAAGTGACTCCGCTGTAGTGATCCTGCAAATTTGCCAATAAATGTATTACTGATGCCTTTGCCATTCTCAGTCCCCACAAACATGGGGAAGAGAATGTGACCTGCTTCCATGCCTGCCTTACGTGGCCACTGCTTAGATAAGGCAGAAGGCAGGGTTAAGATGCACCTTGTAGACTAAATGAGTCAGAGGTGAATCAGCTTTTGTGAGCACTGGATGAAGCAAGCTCTTACTTAGGAAAGCTTATGCATCTCTCACCTATAAAGATACATCTTTACCCTGCCGTCTGCCTGACTTCAAACTAACAGAGCTAGCTACACCTCCCTGCTAGATAAGAAAGGCTGTCTCGATAAACGCAAGGAGAACTGAGTAGTTCTTAGCTTTGCATCCTGGAGTCGTGTCCCCCCCCACTTCCAATGCACATCATGCTTTTCTTTATAACTTAGCTTTTACCATTTGAAGTGTGGAGCTGACCTTAGTTTTGACTCTTGCCTGCCAAGATCCACCCCATACAGAGCTATTCAGCTGTTCAAAAAAGGGAGTTTTGAAATGCGCAGTGTTTCAGGGCTGCCTTTTCAGTTTTGTTTTCTTTTTTAACCTGTCTAGGGCCAGTCACACACAATGTATGAAGTTAATTATTGAGGGAGAATGTTTTAAGGAAGTATTTTGAATAGTTTAAGGCTCTTTTAACATTAGGATTAGTTCCCTGAATCTAGGCTAAATTATAGCAAGTAAATTGTAAAACACATAAGGAGAGAGATTCAAATCTGTGTTCTAGTATATACTTGTTGAAATAACAATGAGTATTATTTACAGCACAGAAAAAGAACCATGTACAATCTTCAAAATAGAAGTGAAATTGCACTGGTGCCATTAGTTCTTTTTTCCGTAGGGTAGAAAACACTCGTTGCTACTTTCCTGAAATTCAAGCCATGTGTTCGTCTGAGGTGAGCTGCACAAAAGGTTGCGAAGTTTGGGGGTTTGCAATATTTTCGTTGCTGCAGTAAGATAGTGAAGGGACCTGTTGATGTACCATTGGGCACTGTTCAAAGCTCCGCTTCTTCTGTATTGACACATCCATTCTGATTTCAACAGCATAGGAAATGAGGGACATGGCGCAGTGTTGTTTTGCAGAGGTACCAAGTCTCGCCTTTCAGCAGAACTGGTTGAAATTATGTGGTATGATGTTTGCTTGGTTTTCTCTGGTGCATTGTGGTGTCTGCACATGGAAACTACTTGCTGGTAGTTTTTCATTATCTTTTTTATTGAAGACCGACGACACAAGCTCTTTCTCTTTTTAAAAACTCCTTGTAGAGCACGTTTCATGTGGTACTGGAAAATTCAGGTAGCTGCCAAAATGCAGAAGACCTTTTTTTTCAGCGTTTTCCTGTTTTAAAATACTACTGAGAAATACCTAATTATATGAACAGGCAATGATTCATGTCTCCTAATGAATCCGTTTAACAAAAAGTATTATCTATTGATTTGAGACAATAAAAAGACAATAAAAGAGAAGCATCACTAAGTTAAAAACATGCTGGTTAGAAAACAGGCATTTTCAACAGATGGTAGAGTATTTCCTTCAATAGAAGGCAAGCCAATATTGCTATTTTCTCTCATTAAAATTCTTGAAAAGTTTAAAATAAAAGAGTAATGGGTTACATTATAAGCTATAAAAGTTTGATAATGAATAATATGATACCTTTTTTTAAAGCTACGGTTTATTGATTCCAATATTAGAAAAACAGCATGCAGTACAAACCATGGAAACAAATAATCTGATGTTTACATCTGTCAATATTTCCTTCTCACAGACCTCTGTGGGTGAGAGTCTTCAAAAAGAAGCACTGAAAAAACAAGTGATGAAGCAAGTAAGTTGAGATTGGGAGGTTGCTGTGCACATGACAAAATAAGGATTTGTTGTGGTTGGTAACCATTCGGCTAAATCCTGTTTTCCCCTTGCAAGCAACCAGCATGCAAGTATATTCTTTTATAGCGCAGATGAGATAACCTGCCTCTGTCTTATCTCTGTATCTAGTTTGCCCATTCCTCTTTCTTCTCTTCTCTTGGCAGTAGTACATCCCCGACTGCATCCACACTTGCTTCTGGTGCGGCGGTCTTTGCAAGTCCTTCAGGCACTTTGGCCCCAGATTTTCCCATAGCGCTCTCACACAGAGGCACTTAGCATTTGTGGAAATCCCACATGTTCTACTTTTCTTCCACCTTGTACAGCAACTGTTATATAGATACGATGGTTTCAACCGGGTAAAATAAAGATTGTAATATTAATAGCATCATTTAACACTCGTACATCTAGTTTTCCACACAGATACAGTGTCAGAAATTAGGATTAGCTGTAATTAAGCTGCCCAGTTAATGATGATAGTCAACAATGCAGGTTTTTATTAGGTTTCTAGGCCATTGGGGATTGTGCTCCCCCAGTTATTTTTAGAAGCATAAGACTTTAAGAGTAGGTATTTTAAGTAAAAGTAAAATTTGAGTTAAGTTTAACAATTAACAATCTAGTGATGTCATTTCAGTGAACTTGTCTAATGGGTATCTGCAGAAAAGGAAGTTATTATGAAGCAGGCTATGAAAAAATAATCGTATTTCTTCATGTTCAGAGCCAGTGTTTCAAAATCTTTACTTACACGCGATAATTTTACCTTATCTGCAACATGAGATTTTTATTTAAAAATATATAGAACTTGCTACTTCTAATTTATGCATCTCCTAGCTAAGGAGATAAAAGTTAAAAATATGTATGTCTATGTTTTTGTTAGTGTAATAAATGATTCCACTTTTATGACCAGGACTCTTCTTGGGATTCTTTTGGCTGTGTCCAAAGAGTAGCTGAAAAACAGTCTAATGCAAACTGTGTACCTGGGTTTCCATAGAGCTGATTATAGTTTACAGCATACAATAAAACTTGTAGACTACTTCATACACGCACTGTAAAACCACAAGAAGTTGCAGTTCATTCTGGGCTGTAGACTGCTGTGATGCTTTGCTGAATTAATTTGTTAAACAGCTTGATTTTTGGAGGACAGCGTAATATTTTAAGGAAGCTAAAGACAGTAAAAAAAGTAACAGTTTCTTATATAATGAAGTCCTACCTAACAGCAACCCTTTTCATTATACTCAGACATAAATTAGCTAGAAAAAAACATGAGCTTTCAGTAAAAAAAAAAAAAACCCCACCAACTGTAGGAAAGCAGGTACATTTATCCCAACCCCATGGCTCCATAGGAGTTAAAATGTACAGTGGACAAGTCTGTAAATGAAATGTGTGATATATAAATTAATATATGAATACTTTTAGAGAAAACTGAGAAAAATATATGGCACAACTGGTTTGGTTTAGTTTATTTGTGTTTCTTTTTTAAATTCTGCGTAACTTGTTTAATTTTATAAAAATAGTAATTTTCCATGAAGTAGTCACCATAATAGCTCAGTTGTTGCTGCTTTATATTTTCTCATCACACTGTATTGCCTAATCTCATAAATATTCTTCTTCTAAGTGATCATTTATAATAGCAGTACTAAACCAAGGACTTCATAGATCAAGCAATGTTGAACTTATGTTCAGTTTCCTATTAGATTTATATCATGAACTGATCTGATTAAATCAAAAAATATAAATAAAAAGTATTAAAAACATAAAGTTGCTTAGTTTATTTTTCTTTCTTTTTTTTTTAAGACTAAATTAGAGATTCAAAAGGCCTTGGCAGAAGACTCTACAGTTTACGAATATGACAGTATTTATGAAGAAATGCAGCAGCAGAAGAAAGAAAGTGATGCCAAAGTGTTGTCAGGAAAAGATGACAAAAAGGTCCATACCTGAAAATGTATGCTGTCTGTCTTATCTCTCCATGCTGGGAAAATAGCCATGACTACTTAACAGATTTTACTGAGGTTCATGATATCCTAGGAACCAGTTGTGCATGCTGTAGTGGGGGCCTACATGTTCTGTGCTCAGAAGCTGTGATGTTATAACAAGTTTGTTAACTTGCTAGCTCAGCAAGCATTTCTGAACCTTCGTCCAGTGTCATCATTTAGTTGATCTGGAGAGCAACAGATTCATGACTAGCTTCCTACCAGTACGCTCTGTGGGGCAAGGACCCTGTCGTCTCGTGCGTTTACAGAGGACCTGTTATGATGTGCTGATCACAGTTAGATCCTGGGAGCACTATAACAGGACTCTTCCCAACAGTGAAAATAGAACCTAACCGAGGGAGGAAATAATGTCTTTTGGCAATGAATATATATATATATATATATATATATAATCTACTTCTTGCTTGTTGGCTTATAGAGGGCCTGCCAGGCAACTAACCAAATTATATCCTGTCTGTTAAATATGAACCATTTTCCACAGCTCAAATCATTCGTGTTTATTCCAGAGTATTAGTGAATGATACTGGAAAGTTGTGTTATCATTGCTCATGTCGTGGGGTTTAGGAGTATTTATCGGGTTGTGCGAGGTGTAAAAGGTGTGGCATTCTGTTCCCAGTTACCAAAAGGAAGCGAGGGAGAACTGCTGCTAAACAGAAACCTGTCAGAGGAAGGGTTGTGTTGAAAGAAATCAAAGTTGCACCCCCCAGAGTTAAGTTGACATTTTTGCTGCCTGTTTCATGGTTGAAGGAAGGTTTCCATGATCAAGACATGAACTGTGTTCATTGAGATCATTATCTCAGCCACAACAACCTCACGAATTAGCTAGACTAGCTACTTTTGCTCTCACAAACTGATTTCTTTTCAGTGTCCTTAGCAATTCTAACCTGTTCTGACTCAGCCAACCTGATTCCTTCTCATTGTTTTTTTTTTTTTTTCCACCTTAGCCAAGGTACATCCACAGTATCCTCAAAGCAGCTGAGATAAGAAAGAAGGAAGAAGAAAAACGAATGGATAGAAAAATTCAGAAAGAGCGTGAAATGGAAGGAGGAGAGTTTGATGACAAGGAGGCTTTTGTAACATCAGCCTATAAGAAAAAGCTGCAAGAGAGGGCCGAGGAAGAGGAAAGAGAGAAAAAAGAGGCAGCGCTGGAAGGTGAGAGTTACACAGAACACATACGAGTTCCCCTCAGGAGAAAAGCGTGGCATTTGCCTTTAAAAAAGTACTTTTGGATGTGATTTATAGTGTTGTTGCCCTGGTCGCCGAACAGGGCGTGAGATGCTGTATTATGGAAGACAACACAGGGGACTGGATTGGACTTGGAGGCTGAGGAATAGAAGGGTTCCTGCCCTTTTGTGTCAGTAATGGTTGGGTGACTTGTTTCACTTGGGAGTTGTTACAGGAAAAGAATGAGTCAGTGCGTCTTAGGGATACTAAAATGCTAGTAGCAATCCTGCCCAATTTTCAGAAAGCTGTCCCAGATGTGAAAGTAATTGGTTTTTGCTGGAAATTGGTAAAGCAGCATACACATGAAGGGAAATCACTCTGGCAGCTTCTCTTTCTGGAAATCAGCCCTACCACATGTGAAAAGGGTCTCATGATTCCTGACTATTGTATCGTTCTTGTTTTTCTTTCCTTAGCATGTCTGGATGTAACCAAGCAGAAGGATCTCAGTGGATTCTACAGACATCTTTTAAACCAGCAGGTTGGGGAAGAAGAGATGCCCAAATGCAGCCTTCGTGAAGCCAGGTAGGTCAGAGTTTTTAAAAAGCTCTTTAAATCTAAACCTGTTTCATGGCATTCAAGAATCTGGTGTCACTGGCATCTTGGGAGGGAAGGAATACCAAAGTGCTGGTAGCAGAAGTCGCATACTTTGTAGAGTTGGCTGGTTGGAAAATGTGAAAAGATCATCATCATTGGGTGAAAATGTGTGAATTGAGAAGGGAGCAAAAGTGCAGGGACCTTTTTTTTTAATGCTACCAAAGGGATAGTTACGGTATGTCACGTTGGTGGTCGCGTGGCATTATTACAGGCTGGTTCTTATTTTGATGTTGCAGAGTTTTTTCACCAGCTGCCTTAAGCCAAGAATTTTGCTTCCTCAGGGAGAATGAGTCCAATATTGTTTGGGCTCAGATGTATACTATTATGCAACTTCGCATCACAGTTCATTTTAGTCACCACTTAGAAAATCATGTCCCACATAACTTTACTGAAAAACTTGTGGGTCTTTATCATTGTGCCTGGCCAACATTTTCTCATAAAGATGGAAAAGAATCTTAGTTTGTGTAAGTCTTGTGATAAAAGGAAAGAAAGCAGATGGACAAAGTCCAGGGGAAAACATTCAAAGGTTATTATACGTACCGCTTAAAACAAAAGCATTAAGTGGAGCTGTGTTACGGCTGCAACTGAAGGAACGTAGCTCTTTCTTCTGCTCTGGTTAATAGTGATCACGGGGTTTAATTTATTGTAGAGCTGTATTGCAACAAACCAGTACTTTATTCAGCTTAAAACTACTTTGTGAGGACCTTAAACATGGTTGTCAGGGAGTAGGTGGATGTTTGATATTCTAAAACTATGAATAAGTAGCTTCAATCATGAGGATTTGTGGGACTGAAACTGGATGAACGTTTTTGTCAGTTCTTGGTTCCGGTGAGGTAGGTGATCGTGTTGGAGATCCTCAGCCTGAGGCAGGACGTCTAGCTTGCCTTTTAATACTAGGATGTGCCATGTCATTGGAAATAATGGGGAGAGAAAACCAGGGCAACTTATAACAAGAGATAAAAATACTTAGAACTGCACCTGTTTGTCACCCTGCAGTTTGAAGAACCAGCTAATAAAAGAGCTCGTGCTTGGAAAAGCATAGCTGTTTTAGGCTTAACTTTCACTGGCAAAGAGAATTTAAGCAGTCTGTCTTGGACATCGCCAACACAATTCCTGTGAGGTCGCTTACACGAACTGTTTGTGTTACTTTTGCGTCCTTACAAATAGATCCGTACAAGTTATCCTCTGTTTTATCTCTGTGAAGCAGCGCCACTTATGATTGACTCACTGGCTTTTGTATTTTTTGAACAATTCTTTGAGGTTGGAAATGCTTTTTTCCAAGTGTGGTTATGTTCAATGCAGGGTTTCAGAATAGTGGCTTCTTAACCGTAATGATAAAGTCCTATCGAATGAATGAATACATCTGTGGGGAAAAAAAAACCAAACAGCAATCTATTCTGTTGCCAGCAACAAAACTATCAGCTGAGTTCATCTGAAGATTTCCATTATTTTTGTTAATTTTACCACTGGCACTGTAAGGTTACAAAAAAGGCACAAGTAGATTTTCAACTGTTAGACAAAGTTTGAAAAACTCCATAGAGAAAAATCAAACCTTTGGCTTGCCTTCTTGCTCAACTATCGTGGGAAAGTAATTGAGAGAGAAGAAATAGGGAATGCCGCAATGTAATTTTTAAAGTCATTTTGCACTTTAAACCATGGGTCAAGCATTCAGCCTAGCCAGATGGTCGCCTGATTTCTACAGCAAATTTCCCACATACCGACAGTGCAGCAAAATGATTAGTAAAAACAGATATGTGGCTTCTGTAATCAAAATGCACCTCCTTATCAGTCAAAAGAAGACTGACCGCTTATAACCTTTTTTGGCATTGCCGAGTCTGATATCTGCAAAGTGTCCCATGTTTCCTCTTTTATTGCACGCTGCAAGCTAAAAACGTTAACAAGATCTTAGCGTCACTACAGCCGCAAGACTGAGGGCCTTGGCAGGAAGCACAGAAATATTCAGGAATATTGAACTGAAATTTAAACTAGTAGTTGTTTTTACAAGGACACGTTCAGCCTGGGGTGTTCTGTGTACGGCTCCTGTTAAAAATAAAGTTCGTAACGCTCAGACACCAAAACGAGGGGGGAAAAATTCCCACCTCTTCCCAATATAGGAATGATGTGGTATGGGTATGAATCACCTGGAAAATGGTTTGCCACATAGCTAGTGTTACCAAAATACAAATCAGTGTTGTATCCCAAAGGGTCTACAGAGCTATAGCCTTACTCATTCTTGAGATCAGTTCATTTGCCTTGCATGTCACCAAAGAACCCGATGCAGACTTTCAGTACAAAGGATATTAGAACCAGAACAGCAGACTAGATTTGCCTGCTTAGACTTTCCTGTTGCGTTTCTTCTGAAGTCTCAGAAAGAAATCATGGGCTCCAGAAGTGTTTGAGACTGCAGGCTGTGTAATATCTTTGTTTTTTGTTTTTTAAATGCACAAAAAAAATCTAGGATAAAGGAGGAAAAATCTAGCAGTACTTCTGATGAAGCCAGCCAAAGGAACAGAATTCCAGAGGATGGACTACAACTCAAAACCACTCCTAAGGCAAAGGACAAGGATAATCCAGATGCGGACACTGATTTAGAAAGTGAGAGCAGTGATGATGAGAGAAAATATAAAAACACCAAAGTTCATTCTAAAAAGAAGGAAAGTCGAGACAGTTCTGCAAGCAGCGGGGAAGATCCCCAGCATCACAGGAGCCGGAAGCACTCCACGTCATCAAGATCATCCAGTGATGAAGGAGGTCACCATGCAAAAGCCCAGTCAAATCATCCTCGGAGAGAAGAGAGTGGGACAGGTAGAAGGGAAAGCGATGAACAGTACAGGGAAACCAATTACGAGAGAAGAGGCAGGGCCCAGGAAAAGGATCACCAAAGGAAAAAGGAAGACCAGCACAGATATGGAGATCATAGCAGTAAAGATAGCTACAGAAAGAGGGAAGAGCAGGAGGACAAACGTAGAGGGAGAGATAGAAAAGAGAGAGAAGGATATGACCGAGAATGGAGAAGAGAGAAGGAGAGGGAAGACAAGCATGCAGAAAGGGAGCGAGAAAAAGAGAGGTTAAGAAATGGCAGAGACGGATACAGTGAGAGAGAAAGGGAGAGAGGGGGGAAATGCAGAGAGAAGGAGGAACCTGCAAAGGAGAAGAAAGAGCGAGATGATAAAAGTGAAAAGAAACACAGGGACAGGAAGGAGAGCAGTCCTAGAGCCTTCGAACGAGACAGCCAGCCTGATCCTGAAAGAGAGCGGGAGAGGGACGATGAAGGAGCCTCGAGCTCTGAAAAGCGCAGGGCTGAAGAGGGAGGGCTAAGCGAGGCGAAAGAGCAGACGGAGAAGCCGTCAGACGGTGTGAACAAATTCGCCAAGCGGAGCAGCGAGGAGACAGTGACGTTGGCAAGGGACCGTTATTTGGCTCGGCAAATGGCACGAGTTAGCACAAAATCCTACGTAGAGAAAGAAGAGGATTAGCTCCATTTCAGTGGGTAAAAAAGAGATGGTAGACTCTCGCTGGTGAGAAAATCGCTACATCAGGGACTCTGCCTCCAAGTAAAGTTTTCCCTGGCTGCTTCCTGGGGGTTTTGTAACATCCATGCAAATTTAGTAAAACAACTTTTTTTTGGAATATGTAAGTAGTTAATTCATTTTGTGCCTGCATTTGGTCAGTTGTAGAGGGAAGATGTTTAATTTTGCTGGTTCTGTTCATGTTGGCTTTCAACATCCTGTCCCCCTGTGTCATTGAGACCGGGCCACTCCTATAGAGGCTAAACCGAGACAGGTAAGAATACCACAGTCCCTGCTATCATATAATCCCTGTGACCGCTTGTAACAGCAGCAACTCTGCTGAAGCAACAGCATGCTTATTAAAAGACATCACTGTTCAGAGAAGTTGACAAAGATTGAGGGAAACACAAAACTAAACGTTGGGAAAATGCAGAAAAAAAATCCAAAATTATAATTTAGCAGAACCCCGTATATATGGGGTTTTTTCATATTGACCTATTGAAAATGTGGGGTTTGGTTTTGTTTCTAGAGCTTGATGTATGGAAATAACTAAATAAAATGTACATTCTGTACTATATCTAGTGCCTGGATTGTTCTTCGTGCCTGTGTTACTCTAAGTTTTAGTGGAAACAAGCTGCATCATACCTTTCTCATGAGAGAAATCGAGGCATATGTCTTCTTCAAGTCTTCCAGTTGTACCCACAGATTCTGCTAGAATTAGTATGCTGGACATGCCAGGATAAATCTCTCTTTTCAAGGTTTTATAAAACTTTGGTAGAAATCACTCCAAAACTGTAACTTGTACTGGTAAAAAATAATACTTTTTATAAACAGACAAGGTTCTTTGAGTAGAGGTCACATCTTTTATTAGACCAGCTGAGTACTCATCTACCCAAAGAACCTGGCCTGCCTGCGTCCTTCGACCAACACAGCTACAACTAAAAACCCAGCATACTTTTATAATACATTTTCAAGCTTTGGGGAGTTTTTTCCACTTGTTCTTCTGCAAGTTTATCACAAAACCCAATGTAATTAACATTAACTTGCACTTTAGTTTCACTTTTTTCACGCAGTCCGAGTACGGAACGCACCCACAGACTGATCTGCTCTCTCTCCTCCCCGTACGGCGTTCAGGGGGTCGGTATGAGAGCCTTGCCTGGTCTACGTGTGTCTCGTGGATAAAAAGTAGTAGTCATGTTCAGGTGTCTGAAGGATCACCAGTGTGCAGGTATTCGATTCATCTGCGATTTCTTGGGTCAGTTTGGGACAGCCCCATAGAGCACATCCGTTCGCCTGTGTTACCAGCACGTGGATAACTAACAGCTACCATGTGAGCCAAAGTATTATGCTGCTTTTTACTGCTTGGTATTTCTAAAGAAAAAAAAAAAGTCTTTTCTGAATTTCCCTCTCAAGTGGCAAAATGTTTTTCGACATTTCTCCTCGACTTGTTTTGTTCTTTTTCTCGCATCTGCTTCCCATTAACAAGGGAATTTGAGGCTGGTTTTACAAAGAAATAGTAAAATGTGTGTAGTATTCCTCTTCTGTGTTTCCCTGTCGGAGCTTGGTCATTGCATTCGTCAAGACATTAGATTTTAGTCACGTCCTTAAGGCACTAAGAAGCTGAAGATGGCAGGTGCCAAGTGAACCTTTAACACAAAGGACAGAAGTTTGAAGTGATTTACAAAATTAATTTTAAGTGCTCCTAAAAACTAGAAAGGGTTTTGAAGGCTGTGGTCCTTCCCGTACTTGTCCACGTCTCCCAGTACACGTTCCTGTCCATCGCAGGCCAGTTCCAGTGACTGAGGCACGCTGGACAAGTCTGAGATTAATGAGGGGAATATTGAGAGGTGAAAATCCTTACCCGAGTCCAATTGAAAATTAGGTCACCAAAAGACAGTGCCTTCGTTCTTGTGGATCTATCTCACTTTTGATTGGAGTAGTTGTCAGTTTATTATAGTAACAAAGAACTGGAATAAGGTATTTTCAGTGCCTGCTAGGCAGCTCTCTGCTGCATTTTGGACCATCTTTTAATCTCTAGGAAATGCCATACATTTCAAGCATCTTTCCTTTTGAAAGTAAAGCAACATTTCTTTGTTCTAAGTAGCTTTTAGCATTTTGAGGTTCTGGGAAGGAAGTTTTTATATAGCAATTGGAGACTTTCAGCAAACGGTAGGTGGTATGATGTAGAACCCGGACGCTCCAGCTCCTCCTCGGATATAAGTTGGCTCGTTTGCTGGTTGTTTCTTAATATAGCTGAGAAAAGGATGGCTAGTGTTTTAGGCCTAGGATTTGACATCAGATAGGGTCACAGGGTGGTTTGGGTGACTGAAGTACAAGAGCAGCTGAGTCCGCTGCCAAAACCTGGACCGCTTTCAACATCTCATGAATCCCGGTTCTCAGAGCAGGGTTGGCTTTCATTTGTTCTCTGTGCGTTGGTAGCTTGTTTGTACAGTTTACAGGAAAAATCACAAGCTGCTTTATCAGCGTGCTTACACTTAAGTTTACAACCTCTTGGTCTGGTATCCCTGCTTTCAATTGCTTTATTGACTGTTCCCAGGCTAGAGCAAAACAGAGGAAGTTCCTGATATCTGATCCTAAACTTAATCTTGCCCACCACACTTTCTCTTTTATGTCCTAACAGAGAGTGCCCCTCCCTTCCAACTTTCCAGCCCTTACCCAGTTCAGCTCCCTACAGCTGTTTCCCAAACCAGATGAAATATATTTGGTGGCATTTTACCAAGCAGTTTGCTTTTGGATAGCTCCAGCTTTGTTTTAGCCATAGAGCTGGGGAGAAAGCAGACTTGTTTCTGTACATCTGCTCAGTGGCTAGAGGAAATGCCAGCTGTAGCAGGCAAAGAAAAAAGCAGCGAGTATATGGGTTGGTCCTTTTATGGGTCTGTTTACAATGAAATAAATACTTTCTAGGGAGGGAGGTAATCCTGAGAATATATTGCTTACAAAGACTTTGGTTATCTCAACTACAAAGGGTGATTATAAGATACAGAATGTGATCTTCCAATTTCTCTCCTTGGGAAGAAATAATAAAACATCTTTTCTGCCTGTAAAAATTCAGTAGTAGAATGAGGACGGCAGCCTGGACCCTCCTCTTGGTCTCACTCCAGCATCTGAGTGCAGAGGACAGTGGAGCTTCATGCTTAGAGGGGTTGATAATGTTAAGTCGGCTTTCTCTGCGACTTGGGTTCAGCTCCAGAGAAATTGCACCTGCTTATACTAGGTTTAAATCATGACAAAAACCTTCAGCCGAGTTGTCTAAAAAGACTGATACTTAGTGGGCCTGTCTACATGTGCATTTATGTTGCATTAAATTCACTGCACAGTAAGTGGAAATAGGCCAGCGCCTACATGTGCAGGCACTAAAGTGCATTAATGCAGTGTGTGGTCTGACCTTGGGACTAAAGTTAGTCCCAAGTCCGTCCACACAGTGTTACTGCGCAGTAAGGCATCTACACGTGCGTTACTGTGCAGTGGCTAATCAGGTGGGTGTAACTTTGCCAATTTGCCAAGTCGGCATAAGTCGCCATAGTTACTGCACAATATAGGCGCGCGTGTGTAGATATGCACCCATACTGCGCAGCAATTTAGGTTACCACACGGTAAATGTGCACGTGTCGACGCAGCCAGTATTTCCAGGCAGATTTCTTGAACAGAAATTTTAAACAAATGTGTATTCTTAACTGTAGCCCCATCGATCTACCTGCTTCCTTCATGGTTTACTCACCAAGCTTGTGTGTACGCAGATAAAACAGCAGTTTTAAACATTTAAATACGGAGTCGTATCAGCTCACAAAGACCTTAAATGGAGTTGGTTTGATATGCGAGTTTATTGAGCAATTTTGCATCGACTCCAGATGTGGAGGAGTTTGCTTTTGCTATTCTGTTTAAACAAATGTCATGAATATTGGTTCATCCGTTACTGTGGACCCAAACTGATGTTCTAAGGAGTGGGCCAAGGGATACACGGTGCAAGGGCTACTCTGCTCTTTGTTGGAGCAGTCTTGTCAGTGTAGTAAACTGGGTTGACTCCTCTGCTCTCTGGGTTGGCTGCTCTGCCGAAACTGGGTCTTAGAGTTGCTGGAAATATGTCATTTTTTAAAGTCAAGTGTAGAGTAGAGATGAGACAAACGCCTGCAGATTTATTATGATATTAAATTTATTACAGTAACAGTTTACAATACAAGGCACATACTGATGACTTACAATCCAGCTTGTAACACTCGTAACTAAACAGCTGCATAAATTAATACAGGTACATCATATACAAGTTGGCGGGACTATTTAGTTCTGTACAAATAAAACTCCAGTTTAATGCTCCTCCTAAAGCTTAAAAGGCAAACGTACTCCCAGTTCACAAAGGAAGGTAAAACTGGCTTTGGAAGTTTCCGTATCACTTTTCATATCGGGGAATGGGATTTTCTGGTGTTCTGTGCAAGGAACTGGTAAATCACCGAGGAAGAAAAGAACTGTGTGGTCGGAAAAGCTTTCAGATCCGGTGTGTAGCCCCTTTGGCGCAACCGTAGAACTAAGATTTTGGTGAACGAGATATTCCACGTCTAATGCATGTATAACATTACTTATTGAGTTAACTGATAATTACTGAAATCGTTAATGATTTTGGAGTAGTGTGTAAAAGGAATAAAAAAGGTAGTGGAAAGCATGGAAATAAATGAAATGGCACAACGTGGCTTCAGCTTCTGAGCTAACCAGAGATGCTGGGGAAACTAACTTGTGATCAGAATGAAGACCTAAGAAAACCTTGAGCCAATGTGCAATTAAAAATTCATGGGAATTAAAGCGGTATGCCTGTTCAGCTCTTGAAAAAGGGCACGTGGGGGCTCTGTGTGTATATGTATGCATGGGTTACATCTTTGCATTATATTGAAAAAGAAAATTCTGCACTTTAAAGTTTGTTTTTTAGAAGGCATCCTGACTCTGTTCCCAAAATACACCAGAAAGGCCTCGGTATGGATTATTCCTCGTGAAGAGGATGTCGTTAAAAATGTTCTGCATTTACACTTACAGAATCCCTCCACTAAAATCTGAACTGTGACATTCAAACCAGCAAATAAAATCTCCTTAAGCAAAGTTTTCAGTGGGTAAAATATGATGAGCATCTCCTCTATATCCCTTCTGCTTAAGAACATTTATTTTGTGCCATTTCAGTTTCAGTCCTCAGCTTTCTGCACAGGTCTAATGCTCTGCTTGCAAGTGAGAACATGCATCCCTCCTGGGGTCACACGACTTGGAAAAGATAGAGATGAGAAGAAAAGGTTTTTGATTGTTTCTTCCTCTCAGAAGTGTTGTTGTTGGACCAGTTCCCTTAAAACCTAGGACGTTTCATCCTTCTGAGGCAAGGAAAGGAAGTCATTTGGGAGGGGATCTCGCCTTTCTCTCTCTAAGAATTAGTGCTCTTTAGGACAAGACCTATATTTCCATCTGGGCTTGGGAAGGACCACACACATGGTGGGCTTCTAGTTATTTAGGGTGACACGTCTTGGTCAGGTTGGATGACTGAGTTACTCAGACCGATTGCACGGCATCTCAGTGTTTTAATACCAAGAGTCATACTTCATACTAAGCACTGAGAAAACAGCGGTGCTGCTTCTGAATTTCCTTGCTGTGTTAAGTAAAATGGATATCCCAGCTAAAATTCTTGAGTACTTTAAAGGCTTTAGAGACTGAGCCAAACCTTTTCTTTCAGAAGTCTGAATTTCCTTCTGAGATTCTAGATCTGCAGAATGTGCACATTACGGTCGTTCCTCAAAGGAGATCAGGACAAATAAAACATACACCCACATTAGCATCTTTGTTTCCCTTAGTGCTTATGCACAAGTACAATAACTTCTTAATCAGTAGTTGGGGAATTCAGAGAGAGCTCCTCGCAGCTAATTTGACCGGTGGTCCAGCCAACAGGTTAATTTACAGCTTCTTAATTGCAGCCCTTCCTTTGCCAAAACTTGCAGCTTTCAGATTTCCCAGGTTTTCTGCTCTGACAGCTAACACTTTTGAATGGCAATGTTCAGTTGCTTTGAAATTAAGCCCGGGCTTAATTTCTCTGCAGAATCTGAGGCCTGTTTGGCATCATCTGACTGTCAAGGTAGTGGTTTCTTGTTTCGGGGTTTCCTTCAGTGCCCAGGGAAGTTGGTTAAGACTTACCCACCTGATGCACAGTGCATCAGTGGTAGGGCTGCTGTGTAAGCTCAGGGTATTCCGGCTGGGCAGCTGTTTTATTTTCTGTGCTGAAATCGCCCGGGAAGCCACTGTATATTACTGTCTGAATAGGACCAATCGGGATTTGGGGTTTTTTTGCCCCCCAGTTACAGTTACAGTAATAAGGCTGTGATATGGCATTGCCACACAGTTCCCATACTCTTCCAAAGCCCAGGAAAAAGCAGCGATTTCTACAGAGGTACTTGGCAGAATTCACGTCCCAAGTTCCACTTTGGGAAAGGACCTTTTTGGCTTCACTGCAGATAGTGCCCTTCCTGAACCTAACCACCTTCTGCTTCCTGCTGGATGGCAGCTGAGTGTCTCCTTGTGCTGTGTTTTGTAGCAGGACTTAGTAAAAGCTAATAGAAAGCAGAGCTGTGAGTTCAGTTTTTAAGCAGCACATTTTTTTTTTTTTTGAATGAGCCTAGCAAAGCTAGCTGATCCTGTTTGCTTTGGTGCAGGCCGAAATTCACTTTATATTTGGTATCTGTTTAAAAATAATAAGTGACACTTCTGGCATGGGTTGGACACAGACCAGCTGGGATTGCCTAATCTGATTTAGTGATTCTTTATTTCCCAAAAGTGATGTAGGAAGTATGTGATTATCCTGCTCGGTCTATGCTGCAGCTTCATATGTATTTCTTCAATAACAAGCTCATGGCAGAAACGTTTAAAATCAAGTGGCTTCTTATTTTCTGGTGGTTCTGCTTTACTGGTGATATGAAATATTAGATGGTTTTAAATATTAAAAAAGCACGTCCTATGCGGGGGGGGATTAGTCACCTTGTGTTCAACTCCAGCATACCCTACATCTGCTCAATGTAAAATCCATTTTAAAAGTCACTTTTACATGTAGTGAGTGTTAAGTTGCAGGTCATTATCCAGTGAGAAACAGATTTATTTTGTCTCTCATGGTGCTGTTGAAACATTATTCCCATTAGACAGGTCTTGTGTGGCCCTAGTACTCTTTGTCAGCAGTTTAGAACAAATTAATCTTTCGCTGCTCTAAATTATTTCCTTGGAAGTGGGTTAAGTTAAACACCTACCGATAAGTGATCTCACATCTACAGGGTTACTGTAATAGGCATGCTTTGGAGTAGGTATCTACATACAGAGGGAGAAAACCCTTGTAAGATGGCTGGTATTCAGATGACAAACCCACGAGTACACTCCTTTGTGCACAAGGCAGGTTCTTTCTGTTGCTGTAAGCCTGTTCCCCCCTTTTTGCTGGTTTCTGAGCGTCTGCCTCCATAACTCCATATGTGACCTCATTTTTAGCACTCCATCACATAGGCAGAGGTATCAGGAAGTGTTATGCCCTATTTTAACTTCATTTGTTTAGGGTTTTATAACAAAACTTTGTAAGGCTATAAGTGGTAGGGGTAAAAATATGACATAAATCTTCTTTATTTACATAGTAACTACATAGGTTTAACTAAGCAACTTCCATCTAACTGCGTAGTCATTCTGTGGTCCTGCAGTTGACTTGGCAGTAGCAATTAGTCAGAGGTTTACTCACTATTTAACCTGCTCCCTTGTTTGGAAGGTGCAAGTGTGTGTGTGTATATAATTTAAAGTTACATGGAATTTAAATTGCAGTTAAATGCTCTAAGTATATACCAGCAGTTACCATTAGGATTCACCCTTGCAGAATTTCACTCAAGCACTTGTTCAGGGTAAAATATCCCCCATCCCCTCCCCTTCATCTTCAGGGTAAAGGCTAGAAGAGTTGATTTTAGTACAGACTGCTATATTTTTTGGTAAAGCTTTGTAAGCCATCAAGTCTAAAGAGCTACCCCAACTTTTAGTTTTTCAACAAGAAAACAATAGGAAAAAACCACAAGCTCCAGCAGATTATAGCTGTGGAGTACAAGTCCCATAAACAAGCCAGTGGTCCAGCTTCTGGCATCTGACCTTAAAGCAATTCACACCGGGCTCCCGTTTCTAAAGGAAGTAGTCTGTCTGTGAAATGTCACTGTGAGTACGTAGCTAAAAGTGATGGAGAGATGGCAACGGAGCCTAGCATTTGCTAACATCATCACTGCTTGTCGAGTGACCTACGACCAAGAAGTGGGTGGACTGACTGTTTTGTGTAGCAGAGGGAAATGGGAAGAGGCTGAGCATTTTGTGAAACCCAGAGCTTTAAAAATCATTCTGGTGCATGTGACTTTTGCAAGAACCAACGAAAGGGAACTGGTGTGGTCCAAAGTACATGACAGAACGTAAGAACAGCAGCAGTGGGTCAGACCAGTGGTCCAGCTAGCCCAGGATCCTGTCTTTGACAGAGGCAGAAGTGGTATAAGGAACAGGGGAGGATAATGCTCCAATCTGGGTGCGCTACTGTGTACAGAGCGGCAACCAGTGCTCTTTGGGCTTGCTACCTACATCATCCTCTGCTTGTTCCACAACAAAATACCCTGGGGTCTGAGAGTCCTATTCATTTTTTTAAGCTACAAAGCTCTGAATAACTTGGGTAGTATATGGCTATCAGAACTATTTTCCTGTGTTTTTCAACTTTTGTTGAAGCAATGAGATCCTTAGACGCAAATACAACATGGTCCAGTACAAATGGTCACATTGAGGAAGATACAGGAGTACAGCCACAGACTTGAGATTCTAAATCTAATCCTAACTGATGATATTCATCCTACGTTTTGGGGACGATTGAGGGAATCGCACACGCTTCCAGACGGCCCCGGTGCTCATCCACCGAGTGACTGCATTCTCTCTCACACGCATGCACACAACATCCTCATGTTTCCTAAATGAATTAGTTCAGCAGTGAACTTGTAGTCTGGTTTGCAGTGCACAGCAGATTTCATGGAAATGTTTGGATACGTACGCTGGAGGCACCATGCTTCCAGATGCGCATTGCCGGTTTCTGAGCCTCTGCGGAAAACTCCCTCCTGTTCCTTGGCTTAGCTGGAAACTCAATTCTTTGGAGGAGGGAGCCTTGGGAAAGAAACATTTATGTCGTTTTTTTCCCCCAGAAAAGGTAGGTTAGCTTAAACAGCGTTCATGCGGATGTCCCCAAAAGGGATCTCTGTGGCTGTCTCCGGAGTAATGCTTTTTAAAACACGCTGTTGAGAAGAAAACACACTAGTCAGAAGTGGAGCAGTTTTCAATTTCAAGTAGATCTCCCGTTATTCGAAAGAACGAAGCAGCGGAGACTGTGAAGGAAAACCTCACCCTCCTTTAGAGTATCTACCTACCTCATGGTTGTGGCCCAGGCTCAACATAGGTTTGCACAGCACTAGGCAGGGGTAAAGCGCTCTAAAAGTGTACACTCTCTGTTTCTAATTGACGCGCGTGATTGCATCCAGCTACTCTAGAGAGTTTCTCAGTGCTTTGCTCTGAGACTCGGTCATTTCGTTGAATCCCATGACCTCTACTGAGCGTCTCTCCTCCTACTGGATCTTCATGTATAACTCATGAGAGCTCCCAAAAAGACATGCCAGCTGGCTGTGGATCTCGTATCGAAATATGGGAGGACTGTTTGTTTCGGATCGGGGTGGTGGTGCCTCTATGGATTTGGCTCTCTGCCTCTGACCAAGAAACAGTCAACTAAAGCTCTTTGAGTTGCATTGGCTGGCTCTTTTCTTCTGTCCATAATAAACTTTTTCCCTTTCTGTGTTGGCTAGCAGAGAAAAGAAGTATCTGCCATTTCTGAAAGTCTGAAAAAGCTTGTGGGCTCGCAGCAGAGTATCACTATTTGTACTCTCTACCTGCATCTCTGGCCACCAGATCCAGAAAAACTCAACACTTTGTACTCAAACTGACACTCCCTTTCTATAGCACTTTTCATCCATACCTTAAAAGCACTTCACCGTTGAGGGTTATACTATCAGACACTATCTTCTCAGCACCTGACCATCTTAAACATGACCAATTGCCATATTTAGGGTCAGGAAGGAATTTGACCCCATGGTCAGATTGGGATAGACTAGGGGGTTTTGTAGTGGGGGCACGGCCCTCTTCCTGGGATCTCGAGCATATATTAACAACTTTTTACAGAAGCAGGACATTGGCCACTGTGGTTCCCCTGTGGCAGGTTTGGGCATTATGTCTTGTGTTGTGTCAGGGCTGGCTGTAGTTTTGCTATGAGGTTAGACAGTGGATTTGTATGGGATGGTTTGGATAGGGATGATCCTGCCTCAGGCAGGAATTAGACTAGATGACCCATGGAGGTCCCTTCCAGTCCTGTCTCTGTGATTCTACAATACCAGCCAACATGTCCATGCATTACTGGCATGATTGGGCTGGGAAGAAAGCATACTTTTTGTAGTGCTTACCTTTGTATGCACCACCTGGAAGAGATGCAACCATCTTTTACAGCCTTTCCCAATCCCGTTGGTAGCACTAGGGAGGGCACACTTCCATCCCCTCTCCCCCAAAAGGAACTAAAACAACTAGAACATAGCAGATACCTCTTTAAACGTTCCCGCGGTGGTTGATAACCGGTAAACCATGTAGACTGGAATGCAGATGAAAGAGGAGGTTCCTATGCAGTAACCCACTACGGTTGTCCAGTAGGGATAGCTGTACTGGAAAAGCCGGAGGTCCGGAGGACTGGATATAAAACTGCAAATGATGAACTGAAATAGAAATCCCAGAAAGTGTTAGAGCTTGTGGAGCCCACTGCCCAACCGGATCATTCGGAGCGAGCACGTAGCCCAGGTTGAAAAAGGAACGCACGCTCTCTGTTTCTAATGGACGGACGGTGTACACGCTCTCTTTCTCTCAGCACACTTCTGCAAAGGTATGGGAGCCCCCAGTGATGCCAGCCAGCATAAGAAAACTAAATCAAAGGGATATAAACACTCATACTTCAGGTGATAAGCCAGCCACTACCCGAGAAGATTTTAGGGAGAATATTTTATTCCTGAGAGTTTATTCCATAGTGACCTGTTATGCTTGCATCCAAAGCTAAATTTAGAGACAGGATATTGCAATAGCTGTTGAGGGTGGAAGGAATCATTAAACCGTCCTGTCTGACCTCCTGCATATCGCAGACAATGGCGTTTGAACCCTGTGTTCAACTCTGTCACCGTGGTCTAACTGACGTGTTTCTTCCGGAAAGGCATCCAGTCTCGCCTTGGATGCACTGAGAGAGAGAACCCAGCACTTTGTTTAACCATTAGTTAAATCGCCCTCAATGTTAAAATGTTTGCTGTATTTCTGATTTGAATTTATTTGTGTAACTTCCAGCCGCTTGTTCTTTTTATGATTTCGTCTTGTAGAATAAATAAACTTTTAGGAGATAATATTTTCTGGCCATGAAGTTGCTTATATATGTTAATCAAGTCCCTCTCCATCTTTTTGATATGCTAAACACAACGAGCTCTCCAAGTCTTGTGCTACAAGGCATATTCTCAAGCTCTTGAATCATTTTTGTGGTTCTTCTGCGCCCTCTCCAGTTTTTCAGCATCCTTTTTAAAATGTAGACACCAGACCTGGACACACTGTTCTCATACCAGTTTCCCCAATGCTACATACAATGCCATATGCCATCTGATCCTATTTATACATGCAAGTCACATCAACCCTCAGATGTATAGGTGTCCTACGGCCCTCATCTGTTGTTGAATATTTGTATGCGGTTTTTGGTTATGTTCTTCTACTGATGTTTTTATATATATATATATATATATATATATATATCTAAAAGTTTATGTACACACACACACACACAGAGTGAATCAAAACATTTTGCTTCAACTCCAGTGTGATTAAAAATGTTTAAGGTGCGGATCTCATAGCCAGTAGTTATATATTGGAAGTGAGCAGGCAGGAGGGAATGGGGAAGGGCATTTTCTTTTGATGACATTCAGCCTTCATCCTCGATTTCTCTGCCAAATCAAAAATCACCTACGGGGCCCTTACTTTCGTTCAGTTCCTTGGGGCTAAAAGCGGCAGTAGTATGAAGGGCATGGGCACACCTGCAAGGTAGAGGAGGAAGGGGGATTGTAGAGCATCAGCCGGATAGTTATCTCGGAGCCGCTAGATGCACTGGAAATCCTCTGCCTTGTAACCTGGTTGTGTGCTCGTGCCCCAGGACAGCATTGTTCCAGCCTCGTACAAAAGCAGATCTGAGCCAGCCAGATGAGACAGGCAGCACACTCTGTACTGCCTGAAGTCAAACTACGTTAATTAAGTATTTGGCCGGAACAGCACAGTATTGGTGTTAGTAACTATTGCAGGAAGGAGCTCTAGCTCAGTTTTCCCTGGGTTTCATCAGGGGATTCAGGTCACTAGGTGATTTGCAAACTTTCCGTAAAGAGACGACAAACCTTCTTCTGGGCTTTTCTTAGTTTAGTTTAGTTTCCATAGAGACTGCAAATATCAGGTTTGCCTAGTAACCACACCACTGAAACCAAATTGCTCTTCATTTAATTGAATTTTATTGTTTCAGGACCATAAAGAGAACAGAAGTGTATAATTTATGTGTGTGGTTACACATCTATTTATAGCTTTTTTTTTTTCTGTCTACAAGTAATAAAATGAAAATCTGTTAAACACACATTAATCACCCCAGCAGTGTTTTGAGTTCACTGGGAGGGCCTTAAAATCTAGATGCGTTGTTTCATAAACCTCCACTGTACGCTCTGCACCCAAGGGAAGCTACAACAAAAGACAGCGTGAACTGGTTTTGGAACAGGGCTTAAAAAACTCTGTTTAAAAATGTTTCTGACAACTTTGCCAAGTCAGCTGTTGGGACGGTAGCTCCAATTTCTGATTAGAAGTTTATGAAGGATGCAATCTGCTGATGTGGATTTTGGCTAGGTGGATTCTGCAGTTGTAAGTCAGCTAGTGTTCAAATAAGACATTAGCTTGCTATCTGGTTTTCTTTTTTTCTGTACTTACTATCATTATCTTTTGCTATTTCATCTCACCGAGATAAATGTGAAAGCAGTGGAGGGCTCCAGCATAGGTTATTAAAATTTTCCAGTATCATTAATGTTTATCTAAATCATGCACGAAACGCGAGCATTGATCTGCTACCCAATCCTAGCAGCATTTATTAGATTTGTCTCATTAACTGCATGTTGTCAGTTTACAAAAGCTGTCTTTAAGCAATGCAAGGAGCATAATGTAAATGAAAATGGTGTGTGTGGATGCTAAGGTACTGCATTATTATATTGATTTTATTGGACTGAGGAGGAGAGTTGGGAACATGAACTCACCAAAAGGAAGATGGGGCTGATTGCTACCCAACAAATGCGCCAATACCAGCCTGGGGTGAAGCCCAGCATTTCCTTCACATCACTGCAAAACCGGGTGACGCCTATGAAAATAAATGAGCGGTGGACAGCGGCACGTTATTCAAACATAGATATAAATAGGAAATAGATTTAGCACCCAATATGAGACAGGGTCAAGTGCACAGAGTCCTCAGCTAGTCTAAATTACTTAATGCCTCCAAGTGTATTTGGATTTCAGGATTGCATTGTACTTCCATGACAAAGGAATCAGAAATATCGCTTTCAGGTTCAGTAATACGTGCATTGCTTTTTCTGCGAGACATCAGTAAGCCTGAACACAGATGGAGGAAATACCAGCCGGGGTTTCTGGTCAGCCTAGGTTGTCAAGAGGGGAACATCCTTACCATAGAACCAGGCCACAGCAATCGATTCCAAGAAGACCACTGTTAGGACAGCTGGCCCTGTGGCATATTCTTCAAACAGCTTCACCACATATGCACCTCCCTAGGAAGGAGATGATGGCACCGATTACGCAAAATCCCCAGAATGACAGCTCTAACGCCGCTAGTTAGATGTAGTCCTCCTCTGGAGCAGAGTATTCCTAGATCTGAATTCACTCTAAACTCATCACTTCACGTTGCTCCGATCTGAGTCATCCTTGACAGTGCTTGTGACCTCTCTACTATCTATCCTCAGTGTACTTTCCTCTAATCGTGCTTTGCAAATGAAGCCGTCCTGCACAAAAATTGAAATAAGAGCTACAGCATTTCTAGCTGGGATCTATCCCTTTCCATGCAATGACAACTTCCTTGTCTTTCCCTGAGCCTTGGTTACAGGGCAGGGAACAAAATCTGTATTAATCTCTGTTCTTTCCATCTGGGAACAGGACTCAGCTAAAGAGCACAGGTTGTGTCTTGGAGAGGAACTCTCCCTCCTTGTTACGGTGAACGCTTTGAACACAACGAGAGCAGGGGAATTTGAACAGTGGGACCAAAAAGCCAGGTAATGGTTTTAGGCAGACGCGGTACTTTGGGTAAATGTGATCTCTTTTATTAGACCAACTAAATAGTTGGAAAAATTGTTCTTTACAAGCTTTCGGGCACAACCGCCCTTTTTCAGGCGTAGGGAGAGTCTGCTGGTGGTTTTACCAATGCTACACTCTTAATCCAGTTTTTGCACCAGTTACAGCAATGAAACCCCACTGCTGGCCACAGGGCTGCACAGGCATAACTAAGGGCAATATAGAGCTTGTTTGATAGGAAGGAGATGCAAGGTCTGGCAATTCAGCTACGAGTTATTAGCAAGTAGTCAGCGTTTCTGGTCCCCCGGTCACCAAATTCCAGTTCCTAGAGGAAATTGTTTTGCTTATTCTTTGGTTGCCTTGAAACATTTGAAATGCTTTGATAACGAATGTGACAGTATTTAAGCCTAGAAACCTGGGATTTGGAGGGAGGTGAGGCAAGTGCTTATATTTGTGAAGGTTTGAAGGATGAACCCACTTAGTGGGGTCGAGGTTTGAACAATACTTGCGTGGTTCATGATGTGGTGGAGCTTTACTGGGTTCAGTACTCTGTCAGATTCCTTGATGAGTGAAACTACTGGCATACGTTTGACTGATGGTCTCTAACCCACAAGGAAACCAGTCTCCCTAGCCTGGATTGCTCATTTTTGTGCACATTTTGTGTGTCCAGGAGGTGCTTTTGGAGAAACACTGGCCCACCCAACATGTCACCTAGAGCTCCGAACCAGCGAACAATGTTGAGAGCAAACCGGTGAGGTACTTACATACGTTAGGGTCGATAGTGACCCCAAGAAGCAAGTGATGATCAGACCAAGCACAAACCATTCCCTGCGCTTGCCCCAGACGTGTGGGAATTCATCCAGCACTGCAGTGATCACCCCTTCCAGCCCTGCAAACTGAAGAGCATAACAAAGAGATGTAGGAAGAGAACAATTTCCACGGTGCAACTAATTAAGCTGAAATCAGGACAGTGACCCATTGGCACTTAAGTGCATCTGATGCTGGACGTTCGGCATACTCTGGAGTATTTCCGCATGCCTGACCCCACTCATCTACCTGGTCAGAGTGCTGTGTACTCACCGTGCTGTCTAGTCCCAGAGTGATTAACATCAGGAAAAATATGATGGCAAAAAAAGTCGAGGCAGGCATGTTTGCGATGGCCTCTGCATAGGTAATGAAGAGAAGGCTGGGACCTGGTGCAAGAGAGGACAGGAGATGATCACAGGTCACCCTGCTGCCTCTCTAATAGAAATGCCTTTGTCCACAGGGGAAGATTTCAATTTGAAGCCACAGCAGGGCTCACTAGGTCACATCTAATATGACTTCTACATCCTTTCCTCTTCAGGGAACAATTTCAGAGCTGTGTGGCACACCACAGACTGCTGTCTTTGCCTGGTTTTTTTGTTAAGGCCCTTGACATCACGTGATACGATTTATTATACTTATTTTATTTATTAGATTTATATATAACATATCTTTATTACGTGAGAATATAATACACAAAGTAACATCATGTACAAAGCATTTTGCATAGTTAGGGACGGTTGTCCCCAGCCAAGGCTGATCCTCCTGGACTTGTAATCTTTAATGAGCACTTAGGAGGTAAAATGCATCCCAGCCTGGAACACGTTATATGCATTTAGGAACAAGCTATATCTAAACTTTGGAGAAAATTTGAGAGAGAAGCAGAATAATTTAACCCACCTGTATCTTTGGCAACCTCGGACACGTCTTCGTTCCTCATCTCGGCCATGTAGCCAAGCACGGTGAAGATGACAAACCCGGAGACAAAACTAGTCATGCAGTTCACCGTGCTTGTAACCAGCGCGTCCCTGCAACAGAAAACCCAGCGTCTCAGGACCCCGCGCCTGCCAGAACGGACAGGCTATGTCCAGAGGGAAAGACCGACTGCTGGGTGTTCACCCGGGGAGGTGGGGGATCGCCTTCCTTGGACCTGGCTGGGATGATGTAGTCGGGGCTGGTCCTGCTTGGAGCAGGGGGTTGGACCGGATGTGACCTCCCAAGGTCCCTGCCACCCTCACTTTCTGTGATTCTTTGTTCGTGTTTGAAAGACTGCAGTCTGCCTAGAAGCCCAGGTTTTGATACTGACACTCATTTCAGCCCTGCAACTTTCCAGGGCGCATAATTAGAAATGCATTGTGTTTGCTATGTGAGGATCCTTTGGGAAAAGACCTCTGAAACAAAGGACATGTCTGGTTTGTGTCCCTATTACAATCCTGTGGCACTTTTTGGAAGAATGAGGCTTTGCCTTGGTGCCTTTGGCTAAATGTTTTCCTTCACTGCTGGTTGTACACCTGGTACCCCAGAGGCAGTTGCATATTCCTAGTGAAATAACCATTGTACTGGTATGTACTGGTTATGTACTGGCAGTTTCTAGTTGTGAGACGATTGCAGACAACTCTGCCCAGTGCCGTTCAGTACTCATCTCTCTGCCGCTATCGAAAAGTTGTATTCTTTAGTCGTAAGTATGAGCAGTCTGGTCTTGAAATGGGACAAAGTCTGTCCCTATTTCTCGAGCGTCTCTTCCTTTTGTCCAGCTCACAGGGTTAGTACAAGATATGGTTTCTCCCTTGGATAGAACTGATGTGTCTGATGTGTCTAAGGAAGAATTTCAAACATTTCATTCAATTCCTTTTTGGATGTCTCTGCGCATTAGGCGCACTGTGCGAAGGTGAGTAATATAGGATTCAAATCAGAGGATGACTTGCTAGTTTCATCTTATAAAACATAATAAGCATCCGTAAGAACAAAGGAAACAACCACAACTATCCTTTCCTCTCCAGGCGCCAAGTTCGTATCTGGTCTCGCTGGAGTGCAATCCTCTTTCAGCGGCGGGCCCAGTCCAAGCTCTTTGTGACAGGTCTTCACATGATAATGGGCTGATAGTAATTAGCACCCCTATTGGTGCAGTGCTGCAAAGGTCAAGAGGGACTTGGGGCTGGAAACGCTTTCGGGTAAGGACCAGGCGTCTGTTGAGGGTTTGCACAGTGAGCAGCATGTAGGGTTTCTGAAGTAGGGGCCTCCTAACGCTGCTACCACAACACACAAAAATCATAATAATTCACTACATATGGAAAATACATTGGCCTTGAAACTTGGTCAGAATTGCAACATTATGGTTCTCTTTTTAAAATGTATATTTATACCCAGGATGTTCACCGCACTTATATAGTTGTTGGTTGGTTTTTTATGTGACGGTAATTAGAATAAGGTGGGACTCACTGGTAGCAGTTGTTGTGGAACTTGTTGTAGCTGGCAAAAGCTAGGAGGACCCCAAAGCCTGGACCGAGAGAGAAGAAAATCTGAGCTGCAGCATCCACCCAAACCTGAAAAACATTAGAAGCAGAGGGTCAAGAAAACATGGAGGAAATGCGTCCGGCAGGTCAAGGTTGCTGTAGCTGCAATAATCCAGGGTATGAGAGAAACAGTGGCTGAAAACAGACCTTGCATTTGCCCTGGGAGAGAGAAGGTTTTCCTGGGACAAAGTGAAGCCGTTCAGACATCTCTGTCTATTGTTCAGGGATAAACCCTAAAAAGGTTCCTGGGATCAGACGTGCTAACGGTTTGTCCCGGGACATGGTGAAGTGCATCTGAACGGTTGTCCTGGGATTGCCTCAGCAACAAAAGTGGCGGTGCCTTGCACCGCTCAGTAAGGCCCGATTAGAAAGGTGGTGTGTGCATGCAATCCCATGGCTTTTCTGTTCTGGGACAAACACAGGCACAACTTGTCCTGGGACAAATGCAACATCTAGTTCTAGCCATGGCATGCGAGTTGAGATGTTGTTATCTCCACGCATCTGTAGCTCGCAGAGACGAGACACAACCCTTTGGGCTTCTGGCACCCTCTGCTCCGTGTGACTGCTGAAGTGTCACCCCGCGCTCACTCGCTGGTGCTCAGAACTGCACTTCAGCGGCTTGCAGGGATTGCAGCCATATTCCCAAGAGTTTATGACATGGAGCAAAGATGTGACACACGCTTCTGCAGGTTTGTGACAAAGGCAAATGTCCAGCACAGGGGAGCTTCACAAGGACATTGTCTTATTTTCCTTTGTGACGTAGTTAGGACTACCCCTACACTGGGCATCCCTAGGCGAACCGATGCAGCGTTCCTTTATACATCATTATAAATACTTCGTTAGTGAAAACTATTGGTGTTTCACCCTTGAAAACCTCCAAGGTGATGCTTGCTGTAAACTGTTCAGCATAGTTTTTGCAGTGTAGATGCGATACCCGGGCATGATTTTGCAGCGGGTTTGGCGTGTCTCTCTTCCGCCAAGCCGTCTGTGCAGGGCGGCATCCCAGAGCGTATTCCTCAAGTGCAGGTCTGCGTAGGTGTCCTCCGGGCTAAGGGACGGTGCACTTACTGCCAGATGTTTTTCCTGGGAGACTGATAAAGCCACATTTGGTGGTGTGGACACAACTCTGGTGGGCTGGACGCAGTTCAACCACGTGGCAGCCACACCAGGTAGGAAGGAGTGTGACGATCTGATTACAAAAACGTTGTTGTACAAGGACCAGAGCCTCAGCGAGCAGTGTCCCGAAATGAGTGATCTCTATTCCCTCCCAAAGGGAGAAGTCCTGATTCCTTTATCCTCACTTGATTGAAACGTGGAGTTCACTGGAGCCCATTTCCAATATTTTATTCTCCCGTGGAGGCATCCTGTATCTCCTCAGGAGCCAGCACACCGATTGTAATCTGCTGTCCTCACTTCAGATCCATTCAATACAATATCAATGTCCTTTATTGCTTTTAGGAAGCCGTGGGCCCTTATTGGAGAAGCTGCTTTATCAGAGAATGGTGTCTCTTCATTTCCTCTTCATTGAAAACCCTCCCTATCAGTTGGGCAGCTGCAGACTCACAAACATTACAGTTTTTAATCTTCATATTTGTTGAATTTATTGCTTTGGTTTTTTCCATCTCCCTCCCTATTAGAGGCCCTCATATGTCGTGAAGCAAACACAGTCTGGAGACTGGCCTGGGCATCTCTTGCATACGATTCGAAACCAAACCAGACACTGGGCCGGCAGGATGTTTTTGCCACTGCTGTTTTTGCCTTCACCCCACTCGTGCTTTTGCTTTTCACCTTATTGATATTTGCAGAGCTCCTGCTATGTTCCCCCCTCTCCTCACCTTCATACATGCCCACCTCTCCTGGCTCTCAGGCTTAGTACGTTGAAAGGCAGGCAGCGAATCCTCAACACCTGACAGCAGACTCCATTAAACATGGTAAAGTCAGCTACCGACACGGTAAAGTCACCTACCAGCTACTGATTGCTCGGCAGGTGCCAGAGCTGCAGCTGATCCATGGGTTCAAGTCGGGGCTGACCATGGAGCCCCTGAAAGGGTAGCTAGCAGAATAGGGACAGAAGTAGTATCTCTATCCTGCATAACTATTAAACCTTTAAAAAAAAGCCCAACATTTTTAAAAATAAGAGGCTGAAATTAGGCTTTTGAATCCATAGCAAGTTGTTACCTATTTAAGCTGACAGTAGCCTTGTTTTGAAAAGGAAAGTTTTCAACACGGGTCGAAATCAGACAAGCTTTCAGGTTTCTCTGTCTCTCCCTTTATACAAATTCCCTTACCTCTGTAGCTAGGAGTTTCTGCCAGTCAGGTTTCAGATAGAAGATGACGCCCCTCCAGGCTCCTGGCAAAGTGGCACCTCGTATCAATAGGATAAAGAGTATGACGTAAGGGAACGTGGCAGTCACCCACACCACCTGACGGAGAAAATGTGAAGACAGTGGTTTTTACGGGTAATGATGCAATGGAAACTGCAATATTGTTTTGAACAGAACGCTTCATTGCATGCAGATGATCAATACCAATGTGGGACCTTTAAGTTGCACAGTTTGCACAAGCATCCACTGATCCTGAGATACCTAGGCTGCGATTTTCTGAGAGGCTGAGAATTCATGACACCAAAAAAAGATAACGGAAACTACAGATGCTCAGCACAAGTGAAATTAAGATCCAAATGTCTCAGGTAGGCGCGCACAAAAAAAATAAGGCCCCCAAAATTAGTTGAGACTTTTGAAAATGTTTGTATTAACCTTTCTGCAGTGCAGTTTCCCAACCAGGGAGATGGGAGTGATGCCAGTTTGTGTAGTGTGAACTGAGGTGCTGGATTAAACAGAAATATTACTGCGACTTATGTGTAAATGGGTGGGCATTGAGCGGCCCTAGGTTCTTTACCTGACTTGCCCGGATGGCAGGCAGCTAGTTTCATTTGTAGAAAAAGGCATAATGAGACTTGCCAGGCACGGCAATGACATGATGTTACCCTGTGCACACACACAGACACATGCACATGCACATGCACCCCTCGGGTAGGACAGCTCTTGTCCGCAGAACAGTAATCTAACGGTGCTGTTGTGTACTCTTTGCATTACAGTGGCACTTGTCATGTGAAAGGTGCCACATCTACATAAAAACACAGTCTTGAAAAAGCCCCCCCAAAACCAAGCTTGCTTTCTCTAACGTTAATAAGCTGCATCATGCTACATCAAGCAACTTTCTCTTGCTGTTGCATTCACCTTGCCAGATGTTTTGACCCCTTTCCAGATGCTGAAGTACACAATGGTGAAGATCAACAATAAACAGAGGGTCAGTTGCCAGCTAATGCCCCCCAGGTCATCCAGCCCTTTGGACCTATGTACCTGTAGCACTTGGCGGCTGAAAAAAGGAAAGAAAGTACTTTTTGTTTTTTGAACAAGCACTGAGATCATTGATATTGTAACACAGGACAGACAAGAGATACCCCCAACCCTACACAGACAGATAACTGGATGCATGGTAATGCCTGAACAGTTTTTAAATGAAAATCATGTGATCAACAAATATCCTCTCATCCTCCAAGGAAGCTCCTGCATTATCTGCCATTCTTCCCGGCACTGCTGTCTCCACTTACATGCACTTACGTATAAAATTCTTCTGCAGGAGAGATGGAGTGCGGGGTCCAGGTGACGTTTTCGGTACCGAAGTAGCTGGTGCAGTTGCCCGTGTTCCAGGCATTCTGGCAGGTGGTCCAGGGCAGCTCCGCCGTGAAGGAGGAAATGAGGTAGTATAAGGCCCAAGCCATAATGGTGTTGTAGTAAGAGGCTATGTAAAAGGCTATGATGCAGATGGCAAAGCCAATTCCTGGTAAGGTACAAAAGAGGGATGTACATGTAAGCACTGGCTCGCAGAGACTACGGGCAGTAGCGGGGGTTTGGTTACTTTCACGTCCCGTCTTTGTCTTTCATATACTAACGCAGCGCTGCGTCCTTTGGATTGGGAGTAACCACGGGTATCGTGCACGTGGATACGAACTTGCATTGATTTTTGTTTGTTTAAAGCATGTTCTAACTCCTGAAAAAATGAATGTGGGCGTCTCTGCAACCGTTTCTTACAAAGCCAGGCTTTTGGCCCTGAACCCTTGGCAGCGACCCTTTGTGCTTTTCCTGATTTTCAAGATTTTTTTTACCCTCAAAAGGAAATCTCTGCTGTTACCTTATGAGTTCCTGGTAAGCTTCCACTTCCCCTCATTACCTTTGAAAATTGGACAGATTTTCCTCCAGACTGAGATGCACCCATTTCTGTGGTACTGTCCCAGGGCTAGCTCCATGTAGAAGAGGGGAATGCCTCCAAAGATAGCCATGATTGTGTACGGGATGAGGAACGCACCTGCAAGGAAACAAGGACTCTGGTAGTACTTCTGGCGCAATGGTAGCAGCACTGTACACAGAATCATTCTTTGTCCCCTGTGGCCATCGGTGCACGGACCCATAGCCAAAATGCACCCCGATAGGAGGTTTCACAGCAGTCGTGGTCTGTGACACCCAACGACAGGGCTTCTACCGCTTCCCTTTGGAAATCATTCCACTTCTATCTGATCTCCGTGTCAGGAAGCTTTGCCTGCTACTCAGCATCCATTTCCCATTCCTTAATTCATCCTGTGGTCTCCAGTTCCCTGCCTTCTGTGCTGCCACATCATTCTTTTTCTATCCTAGCATTTATGGTTATCCTGTCCGAGCATCCCCCTCTGTAAACTAGGCACATTTTACTCTCTTAATCTACCTTAATACCTCTTTCCACCTAACTGCTTGTGGCTTATGGTCTTATGAATTTAACATGAGCCATCAAACTAATCCACCTACACCCAGAGAAGCCAGGTTTTAAGGACTGACTTCCGGAATGAACACTGACCTCCTCCGTTTTGGTAGCATATATAGGGGAATCGCCAGACGTTTCCCAGATCCACCGCATAGCCAATGACAGAAAGCAGAAAGTCCATTTTTTTACTCCAGGTCTCTCTCTCATCCAGCTCCATCAGCTGCTGTTGAGCTTCTGCCCCACACGTGGTGGAAGTTGTGGTGGTCGTTGTAGTCGTGGCTGCGGGAGCAGTGCACTGGACGTCTTCTCCATCTCCCACTCCGTTGCAGGGCACTGGGCTCTGAACTACTGAGTACCCGTTTGAGATCTGGCCTGCCTCCTCTTTATCCCCCTGGCTGGGGTGGACTTTATTGCCATCCTCCACCAGCCGCAGGGCAGATTTAGGGTTCCTGACTAGAAGTCCGTTCTCTTTGCAGTCTTCTCCTTCCTTACAGTCCAAGAGCTCTTGCCTAGTGGTAAGGGGCTGGGTCTCATTGTTGGACGTCGTCTTTTCCATTCTGCTCGTTAAACGATATTGCTCCTGTCCATTTGCAAGTGGACCTGGAACAGAGTCCCCTTGCGCTGCTCAGAGCCGTGCGCTCTGAAGCGCCACGAGAGTCTTCTCGGGTCTTTATTTCCACTGGCTTGGAAACACGCCAAGCTTCAAAGAAGGGAAAAACAGTTAAAATCTGTGTCAAGGCTGGTCGGTGCTGATGGCTTTACAGCTTTGAGGAGTGTGCCTATCTTGTAGCTGGGTTTTTGGTTGTAGCATGTCCTTAAACCAACAAGGCTACAGCCTGCCTGTATCCTGACTTTCCTTTTCCTAATTTCATCCTGTGACTTCCAGCAGTATCTCCTAAGTTTCACTCAACTGTAGGAGGAAGAACCTTTAAGTATGCAAAGGTTACTGAAATAAAATATTTAGATATTTATAGATTTGCTAATAATTTTTCATGATTCCCGCCCCCCCGCTCCAGAAATCTCACCAGACATTTCTTGCAGAATCAGCCTGACTTGATAGATCCAGCTGGTTTGGAAAGCAGCTCAAGGTAAGCGGTTTGACTTCTAGGTGCTCACTTGAACTAACTAAATATTAAGGTTTGTCCAATCTGAACAAGGGGAAAGATGTTGTGGAAGCTTAATACTGTTTTGGAAAATAGTGAAGACAAAAACCAAATAGCAATTGAAAGGGAGATCTTGAGCTACCAACCTAACCAATAGCTCTGCTGTTTGGGAGACGCACTTCAGGGTAATATAGAGCCCAGGAAAGCTGCGCCAATGGAGAGAGGACCAGATTTCTAGCAAAGCTTCACACAGAAGGGAGTCTGACTAGGGACAGCTGTGTCTTTTTTGAGCTTGCTAAAATCCTCTCCTGGACAACACAGTACCTTAGCTGAAAATGCTCTTTGAATATCAAGTTCCTACCTTTCCTTTCTGCTTTGCATTCGCTTGCCTTTTCCCATAATGTAACAGGAAAGGATGATAGATCACCCGGCCAATATCAAGCTACAGCATCACGGCATGATACCTGGGAGAAGCCCTGGCTTCTTGTCCCTTTCTCCCCACTCACCTGTCAGAATAGCCATGGGACAATAAGCTGCTTCGGAGAAAAAGGGTAAAGTAAAATTGCTTCTCCCTCAGAGCAAAGGTGGAGCAGGAGAACTCGCATTTTGTTCTCAGGTCATTGTCTGGAGCGAGACAGCTATGACACAGACTTTGTTAAAGGAAGATCACAAAGCAGCAGTCAGCCCTGGTAGTGCGAGGTGCAGAGCTTGTCCTTCGTTGCAAGCTGCCACCCAATGCTCTTGTGCACCAGTGATGATGATTATGTATCTGTTTTATTTCCAGAGCATTTTATAAGTAATTATTATGACACTGTATGAAGAGGAATAAATACTCTCTATTTTACAAAGTGGGGAACCAAGGCTAGGAAGTGGAGTTACTGGCTGAAGGCTAGAGAGGGAATCATTGTAAAGCCAGGATTAAACTCAGGAGCTCCTAATCACCCTTGTCCTCAGACCTTTAGACCTCACCTCTTCCTCTTCATGGGCAGATGTAAGAGGAAAAGGGAGGAGAGCCATAGAGGCAATAAGCAGGAAGGTGTCAAGATTAGAAACCTTTGAAGGTGTTACTAGAGCCTTGTAATTCACAGCCGCCCTCTTTATCTATGTGTTACGCGCGCCATTTCTCAGAGATGATGTGTCTTTCATTTTAGAACAAGCACTGTAGGCAACACTGACTTCTCATCATAGCACTAGTTAACAATACTTTATTAGCATTAGTTAATCATCCACAAAGAAACAGGTTCAGAACTTCTGCTGATAAAATAATTCTAGGACAAAGAAAAATGCTTTCGTTTACCTGCGAGACTTTAAAAGACTGTGCGCTTCCCCAGGACCTCATGCAGATGCGGGTATTGATCTCACTGATGGTAACAGGCAAGACCTAGGTGAGGCCGATATCAATCCCACTCCCCTTTCTGCATTGAGGAAGCTCCTTTCGGCACCGGGTGTGAAAATGGAAAAGTAACCTAAACTTGAGCCCTTTCTGGACTTTGTACTTTTGACAAGTATACTGGGAAGCAGTAAAGGAATGCTCATCTAATTACACCCATGTGATTGAATTTTCCATCTTGAGATGTCAGCATTTCAGGTGTTTCCAGTCAGCATCATCTCTGCAAGTCCGCGTTGGGTTGTTCTCCCCATTAACACTATTGCTGACACAGCTAGCAGTTGCACAAGTGTAAATCACATAGGACGGGGGCAGCTTATATTTGGTTATTGCATCAGAGCTCATTTAGAGATAGGAGTTTATGTTTCTGTATGCGGGGAGGTCTCTTGTACAGCGCCGTGCCTCAAACAAGCCCAGCCATCTTTAACCGAATGAATGTGTGACCAGGTGTAGCGGACATACCCTAGAGCTGGCAGGCAGAGCCACACAGCTAAATTCTGCTGCCCACATCTCAGCAGCTGCTGCAGGCTAGGCTAGGCTAGGCTAGGCTAAAGAGGCAGGTCTCTGAACTGGGAGCTCAGTAAAAAGTTCAGGGCCAGAATGCCAAAGGTCTTTCGGTACCTAAAGAAAAAAAGACCTAACTGGGATTTTCAGAAGGACCTGAGCAAGGTAAATGTCCAGTCAGTTAAGTCGAATGGAAATCAGGCATCTATTCTGTCTACAGGCTTTCAAAAGTCCTCCGACCCACCTATCTGTATTTTCAGGTATCTAACTTCTCTTTGAAAATCTGGCCCCGGAGGTGGACCAAAGTTAGCGGAAAACGACATGAAGCCTGGACTGTCAGGGAAGGTACCTGTACACCGGAGACGAGAAAGGCCCCTGCAAGTGGAGCCTGGGCAGCTCTTTTCAGTATTACTTTAAGCTTTTCACCTGGCATTTCCTGACAACAGACACTTACTATATCTACAACAAACACTTTGGGCAGCCGTCCCGTCCAATGACAATGTGCTCCTCAGCATCCAATGCAAACTGCTCGTGTTTACAGCCCACCACCTCCCTAAGAGCTGGGGAAGAGAGGTGGGAGAAAGCTGCGTGTGGAAGGCTCCGCGGCTGGACGGCACCGAGCAGCTCTGCCAGCTTACACAAACTTCCCACGTCGCGGAAAACAAGAGAGAGTCCGCTACTGGGGCAGAGTCAAGGGCTTGCACAAGCAGCGGCGTGCCCTCGTGTTGCCCTTCTTCTGTTCCCGGCGAGAGCGAGACCAAACTCTCTGCAGGTGGTATTTCAGGCAAGCCGGCGGCTATTTCATGAACATTGTTAATCGCCTGCTTGAAAGCAATGGAGAGAGCAGGTTTATTAGCTGCCCAAGCAGGAGTGAGAGGAAGTGATTTGTTAGCAAGACGAAGGAATACTCCACATCCAGGGAGAAACAGGAGTTTGACTGATTGTACTATATGTGTTGCATCCTTGAGTCTTCATCGCGCGGTGTGTCCATTTCGTGGACACAGGAAAGACATTTCATATGCAGTACACCGGAGTACAGAGACAGGAGGTTTTTACCCGATCGTGTTTATGCAATGAACATGTTCTTCTCTGTGGAGGAAAGACAGCTGAATAAGCTTACTCGTTTTTCTGGGTGTGTGACCAGTGAGATAGTTGTCTGTCCAGAACAAAACTCCTTCTGGATCCCCTCTAGCCCAAATTCATAATGGAAAGGAAAGAAATACTGGATTAGCTTAAACATTTTGGTAAGATTTTCAGTAGAATTAACCCCCGGCCCATAAAATGGTTTGTGAACTCTCAGGGGCCATAGCTGAAATTGGAACCCTCCTTTATCAGGTGCGTCTACACATGCGCATTTACTGCGCAGTAACCAAAATTACTGTGCAGTAGGGGCATGCATCTACATGTGCAAGTCTGCACTGCACAGTAAATACAGTGACTTATACCGACTTGAGTGTAAGTTTGATACCTGCGTCATGCAGGTATCAAATTGACTCCCAATTAGTTACTGTGCAGTAATGCATGTGTAGACGCCTTCCTGCGCAGTAACACTGTGTGTGTGGATTGACTTGGGACTAACTTCAGTCCCAACTCAGTCCACATACAGTGTTAATGCACTTTAACGCCTGCGTGTGTAGATGCAGGCCTATTCCCACTTACTGCACAGTAAATTTAAGCTGCCGTAAATGCATGTGTAGACAGCAATGAAAAGATTGTTACCGGTGTTTGGCTGTGATGGGAAACATATAACATGCTTCACAGTTATATGACCCTGTATATTCTTAGTAACAGAAGGTAAGTTGGAGGCCCAGGGGATGCCAAGAACTTCAGGCTGGATATCCTGGGGAGAGTTATGCTAATACTGGAAGATCCCCCTTTTTATTGCTTGTCGGCCTCTCTCTGTTGCTGTAGTGTCTATTTCTCGTTGGCTATTTTAGCAAATGCCATCATAATAAGAGTTTACTATCTGTCTTTGTTCTGAGCTGTTGCAAAGGTCATGCTTACATAAATACGCATTGGCTCTTTATCAACAACTGAAATAGCTACAGACCAGAAAAAAATAAAAGCTAGTAGAGAACATGAGACCTGGAAACTGCAGTTAGTTTTCTGCTGCCTTCCACACGCATCGTGTTTCAGGGCCCCTAAGCATCTCTCTCCCAGCTAACAGCTCACTGACCCCAAGACTGAAGTGTTGGGGGTACGCAAGAGGTGCCAGCTGAGAGCCCAGAAACTGCAGTCCTCGTTTTCCAGTGTTCCTCAGCTTCGCCTTAGCAAAACCGCATGGACAGGCATGAGAAACCTGTCTTTTGCATCTGTTAACCTTGGTGCCTCTGCTAATCATGCCAAACACCAGCGTCAACTGAATATATCATATTGGTTTAGTAGATAGTAAACCATACTCGATGCTCGGTAATACTGGCCATGTCTGCGTGTGCAGCATGTTACTGCACGGTCCTGTTGCCGCACGTTTTTTCCTGACGCTACTGCACAGTAGCATCGCGTCACGGGTAGTGCCCAGTAACGCTACTGCATGGTAGCAGCAAGCTACACCGCAGTAGCTCTTTGCTACTGCACCATAGCGTCTCGTGTAGACGTGCCCGCTGAGTGAGAAAGGCAGAGAAGAAATGCTGATATCAGTAGTTGAAGACATGAGAAAAGCACTGTTAAAAACTATGAAATGCACAAATATCCTCACGTCTTCTGCAAGTAATGATTTTTGTTGTTCATAAATGCACTTTGACTTGGTGCAACATTCGAGCTGACACAAGCAGCGCTACAAATCAATCTGTGCAGCAAAAAAGCTCGATTTTTCTGTTCCCTAAGCTTGTGGAAAACTAACATTTGCCTTTAATCTCAGTGTTGGCAAGAAGAGCGACACAGTCAAATCTATTCTTCCGTTAGCATTAAATCAGTTCTTGATGCCTCGGGGGAAGGCAGACCTCAGCGTTGCTTCATGCCAGCTGTGCAGTACTGCACATGAGACGGGGCACGGGTGTGTGCATTCCTTCCTGGGCCACGCGGCAATTCATGTATTCGCTCCAGCACGAGATGTGCTTATCCTTCGCGTTCACAATTCTGAAAGTGAATACTGATCACGAAACGATCCTGTCTATTCAATCTGGCAGTAAGGAAGTACATATCTGTGCATACATTTTCCTTCAAACAGATTATATTTTCTCTTGTAACGTCCAAATTTATTGAACCACACTTGAACCTTCTGCGATATCAGTCCCTGAATAAATCACTATCGAGTTCCAGTAGAATGATTGTGACGGGATTCATATCATTTTAAGCACAGATAGAAACCTACGCTCCTTCTGCATTACTTCTGTTCACTGCGGTGCCAGCACCTGCTAAGATTTAAAAGGCTCCAGACTGGAGAGTAAAAGGTTAATGCATATTTCCAGCAAATCCGAACAAACCAGCGTTTATTGTTACTCATACTGTACATTGAAATAATCTCTCTTAATCCGGCCTGTATTAGCACTCATTTTACATGTAGATGTTACTCGGCTTTGAATTACGCTTTGCCCCGTAGACGCAGTTCACAAGGCAGGCATACATATACAAAGCCCAAGTAAATAGGCATTGAGAGCACTAAGCAGGACATTTCTCTGAAGGGATACAACCCGTGCAGCTAGCGCAGAAGGCAACATAGCACAGATTTTCTGCAGCCACTGTTTCCATCTGTGGACCAAAATAGCAACCAGAGCCCTCCTAAAACATATATGCATGGGGATTCCCAGGCACTGGACCTACGTAAGTATGGGCTCAGAAATCCCTGGCCCTTTTCTGTTCCTTTTCTCATCTCCACCTGTGTCCTCCTGCACCGGGTACCCACGGGACTGTGGAGGACCTTGTGCAACTCATCCCTACAGCAACGTTTTGCTTCCTGTGCGTACAGGGGAGCAGGGGCTCCTTAATCCCTTTTCTTCTCTCTCCTTACACCTGTACAGCAGCACAGTCTAGAAACGACCTTTAATTAAAATATGTATGCGATAGGCTAGGTGCTGGGAGACCGTGGTGATGAGAGGTGTTCAGCAAGGAAGACCGACCAGTTCTAGCCAAGTCGTATTTAAAACCTGCCGGCGTCACATTCGAATTCATTTTATTTCCGGTTTCTAGCAGGAAACCGTGTCGAGAACTGACACCCCAACAGTCGGATACTTTGCTACTAAATGTGCCTGTTTGTATCGATTAGAAACCAGATCAGTTTGGTTTCTAGAAGATCCTTCACTAATATCTGTCGTTGCCAATCAGCATATTTCACATATCCAAAACTGGCACGCCTGTAATCGCCTGACAAACCGCGCTGGCTTGGAAATCTCACTGCTTGACCAGAGCCACAGGAAGTAGGCACAGAGAAGGCACATTAACTCACCTCTAGTCCACCCCTTAACTGGTGTTGTGTTAGTCACTGCACTTGGTTTTATTTGTGCCTTATTATATATTATATATATATTTGTGCCTTTTATTTGTGGTCTAGTTGCAAATAATAAGTAAAGTGTCAGCCTGAGTCAAAGCCCATTGAAGTCAGTGGGTCGCAACGAAGCTTTCGTGTATTTTGGATCTGATCCAAGTCTCAAAGATTTGATGCATCTTAGGGTTTTAAACTGCTGCCCATCACCATAATAACTGAGCACCTTATACGAAGCTTACAGGAAGGAGATGGCAACATAGATCTGGTATGTGAATACTATTTGCACTTAAAGGGGAATCATTGAGAAAGAGTGAGTTGCTGACACGAACACCGAGCAGCGCCATACTCTACCAGCAGTCGTACTGAAATCAGTGACCTTCCTAGCAGTGTGCAGTGTTAACCAGACTACGGGCGGCAGGAGCAACACGGTTGTCTGGTGGGCTCTTGCGTATGACCATAACCATTTATGCTATAAGTAGCACGTGTGCAGCAACACAGCCTGGCATATTAAGGAAGGAATATCCACCTTCACTTTGAGTTCCATATTGCAACCTTGGTCTTATTTAATTCTCTATTTACCACTCCCATAGCAAGAGACGGTGTGGCGAGGATTTACCGGTGTAATTCCTACAGAAGAAACACCACATACTAATGCCAAAGCTGCACATTGAAGTAGATGGTCCAATGCTATACATTTTAAAGACAGTCAACTTATGGGAGGGGGCAAATATATTTTATGGCTGGAGAGGGTACGGGAGTAGATAAACCTAGAGAGAATGATACTTTCCTTTTCCCCATAATATATAGCTTCTACGAAGACTCATAATGCGTTAAATATCACAAAACTCCTAGAGCACCATCAGCAAGCATAAAAACACGTTAATAATAATACATGCACATTGCATAAGACGACACGTGCACGTATACACGCAATACAGTTCAAAGACTGACTACAACTTCACACTAACAGGACACGCTTCTCGTTCTAATTACATTTGTCATTTTTTATGGCTGGAGGAAGGAAAATAAATGGTCACAAATATGCCTTGATCTTACAACTTATTACCAAGTCATAGCACCAACAGCCTGGGTCCAAACTCTGCTGTAGCGCTTTCTGAAAATACCTGTACTCACTGTGGGCTTCCTTGTACAAGTCTACTCACATACACCATAACCGGCCAAACACAATGCTGCTGACCTATCTTTGGAGGAGAATGAAGACGTTAGCACCAGAAGAGACACTGTAGTGATCCGTCCTCCTGTCCTCAGGCTCCCTAGTGCCATTCCTGTCTCAAAACTCAGCAGCACATACGTCTGTGCAGGACAGTATGAGCGAGAGGAGATGACATACATTTTCCGTGCTAAGAGATCATTTGTTTTTTATTAGATTCCCATGGGGGTTTTTGCTTTTTGGGGGGTTAATTTGGAGAGCTGTTTGCAACTCATTCCCTCCCCCTTGTTCAACGCACGCACAACAGACATTTACTGAATGCCTAATTTCCAAAGAACGCCCGAAGAATCCTTATTATTACCAGATTTCAGGGCAGAGAAGATTATGATCAATCCACTTAGCAGAAACACTGAAAGACACACACATCGGTTGCATGACATTTAACCCAGTGAAAGTGCCTGCCAATAAACAGCCAAAGTTCAGTCCCATGCTATAATATATCCCGGTATCCAATTTGAACTCCAGATCCTTTTCTCTCCCTAAAGCTATGCCTTTCTGCTTGGGTCTCCCTCTTCTATTCTGAACGCTTCAAGATACTTTTACCGTATCACTGAAAAAAGTGATATGAGAGTCCATTTTTGATTACATTACATTCTTACTGGCACTTCTGCTACGTTGAGCCAAATTGTAGGCAACCCAGTCAGATGGCTAATTTCACCAGTAAAAAGTAATTGCAATGTAAATACATTCACAGCATACTCTTCAGCTTATTCTATCTTGGTGTCTATAAACTCTTTTGAAATAATATGTGATTATTTAAAATATAAAACTGGTGTGGTTAATCCAGTCTGTTTTGGTCCTTTTAAAAGAAATGAGTTCATCTTGATTTCTGTGTCCGATTCTGCCCTTTTCGTGCATTTCTCTGTTCTATTTTTGTATATAAA